CCCAAAGCAGAGGCGATCCTTATAAGGAAGCCTAAGGACAGCGATACAAGCTATGCTGAAATGCTGAAGCTGTTAAAGAAGAATGCTAATAACGAGGAAGTCGGGTCCAAAATAGGAAAAATACGAGAAACCAGAGATGGGAACGTGCTCTTGGAGCTTATAAAAGGTTCCAAGCTAGAAGACGTGAGCGGTGCCGTACGTACGGCTGTCGGTGATCAGCTAACTGTGAAGGCCTTAGTACCATCAGTTACGCTCGAAATCCGAGACCTTGAAGCCGGAATCACAGAAAGCGAGGTTAAAGGAGCCATCTTGACAGCTCTTGAAGCAGCCACACCAGAGCAAGTTGAGGTGAAGAGCCTTAGAGCAGGACCCAGAGGATCAAGAATAGCTATAGCGACAGCGCCAAGAGCTACTGCTGCTGAAAAGATATTAAAATCAGGCAGGATTAGAGTGGGATGGGTGAATGCCTCCGTCCGAGAAAAGAGGATAATCTCGAGATGATATAAATGCTTAGCATTTGGACATATCGCATCGGAGTGTCCAAAAAGGAACGAGATTCAGGAAAAACTGTGCTACAGATGCGGAGAACCTGGCCATTTAGCTGCTGGGTGTGAAAAGCAGTAAAAGTGCCGACCTTGCGGGAGATCGGAGAACCTTACGATCATAGGCCGGGGGATGCTAAATGCGTCGCGCTTCGAATAGCTAGGGAGAAGCTGGATCGAAAGCAAGGAGATGGCAAACGCTCCTAAAGTCGATATCCTGCAGATTAACCTCAATCGATCTAGAGAGGCACAAGATCTGGCCATTCAGACCGCGAGGGAAAGAGGAGCGGATATTCTCCTAATTTCGGAGCAAAACCGGAATATGCCCGACAGTATGTGGTACAGAGATGGAAGAGGCGATGCAGCAATCTACGTCTGCAATAGCGAATGGTACAACGTCAAAGAATTGGCATCTGGAGAGGGATACGTGGGAGTCGTAATAGGACAGCTAGCTATATTTAGCTGCTACTTCTCCCCTAATGCACCTAGCGCGGCTGTGGAACTGGACATCGCTGCACTAGAGCAGCAGATCGGTAAATGGAAAGGGCCACTCATTGTTGCGGGCGACTTCAACTCCAAGGCCAGGGCATGGACTGGGGGGACTCGAGATCGAAGAGGTGATTTACTGGAAGAGATAATGGCAACTTATAACCTGATAGCAGCCAACCGACCTGGCGTGCATACCTACGAGAAGGGAGGATGCAGAACGTGACGTTCATATCACCGGAGGTAGAAAAGAGCATAGCGTCTTGGGAGGTACTGGACGAGGAATCGTCCAGCGATCATCGTTATGTAATGACAAAGATCAAGGGAAAGCAGGAAGAGCGGCAGAAACACCTCACGGGACGAGGCTGGTCACTCCGGAAGATGAATCGAGACATCTTCCGAAAAAAGATCAAAACTGCGGGCAATATAGTAGGAGCGACTTCGGCAGAAGAGGCGGTGGAGGCACTCATGCAAGCACTTACCGGGGGTTGCAATGCATCGATGCCTCGAAGACCATCGGCCTATCATAGGAAAGCGACGTATTGGTGGAACGAAGAGCTAGCAGAACTAAGAAGAGAATGTAACAGACGGCGAAGGAAGTCACAGCGGGCTATGAGAGCCAACAAACCGGATGCGGAAGAGAAGCACGAGGCATACAAAGAAGCGAGGAGAGTCTTCAAGATTGCGATTCGAATGAGTAAGAACGAGTGCTGGAAGAAGCTCGTTGAATCCATTAATAGAGATCCATGGGGCCTGCCCTATAAGATTGTGATGGGTAAACTCCGGAAACCACATGGAGGCAGCATACCACAGGATGAACCGAGCCTGCGGAGAATCATAGAAGTTCTCTTCCCGCAAGGAGAAGCACGTGTTAGTTTCCCTAACCAAGAAGACGACGTAACGCTCGAACCGTTCACCCTCCAAGAGCTAAAAGCCACGGTGGCCAGACTAACCCCCGGGAAGAGTCCAGGCCTAGATGGCATTCCCAATGAGATCTTGCGCATAACAGCACAGGAGAATCCACAAATGCTCCTGAATGTATTTAATAAATGCATAACAGAGGGGACCTTTCCAAATCGTTGGAAGAGACAAAAGCTGGTCTTGATACCCAAGGGGAAAGGAGGCACGAGAGAAGACCCATCATCCTTTAGGCCACTAGGGATGCTGGATTCTTCAGGCAAACTGTTTGAGCGAATGATCCTCAATAGAATGGATAAGACGCTGGATGAGGAAGGAAACGAGGGATTTTCCCCAGCGCAATTCGGATTCCGCAAGGGCTTGTCTACTCACCATGCACTCAGACAAGTCCAAGAAAAGGTTCATGAAGCCCTGTACCAACTATCAGATAGGGGCGGATTTTGCGCCATCATAGCGTTGGACGTAAAGAATGCGTTCAATTCGGCTAGCTGGGAACGCATTTATCAGTCCCTGGCAGAAGAAAAGAAGATGCCTGAATATCTTTTGAGAATTATGGATAGCTATCTCAAGGATAGGAAACTCGTAGTAGTAACGGAAACGGGCCCGATAACCATCGATCTTTTGGCCGGAGTCCCCCAAGGGTCGATAAAAGGTCCCTTTTTGTGGATTTGCATGTATGATGGGCTGTTAAGACTACAGCTACCAAAAGGAGCAACTCTAGTTGGGTACGCAGATGACCTGCTCTTGATTGTAGTGGCACAGACCGCAGAGCAAACAGAAATGATTGCGAACGAAGCCTTAGAGCTTATAGCGGCATGGCTGGATAGTAGACGCCTTCACTTGGCAGTGCACAAATGCGAAGCGATACTAGTGACCCGACATAGAGCATACAACGACCCATGCTTCAAGATCAATGGAGAAGTAATTCCCCTTAGGAAGGAGCTGAAGTACCTAGGAGTCTGGCTGGACAACAAGTGGTCTTTTAAGCATCACGTCAGGGAAACGGCTACGAAGGCATCAATAGTCGGCACGTCGCTGTCGCGACTCATGCCGAATATAGGAGGGCCACGACCAATGAGACGAAAGCTGTTGTCGACAGTAGTCGAGTCGATCCTACTATACGGGGCCTCGACGTGGGCGAATATCGTCCCGACATATTTTGTGAACCAAAATATGGGCTCCGTACAGCGGAAAATTAATCTGAGAATCATCAGTGGATGGCAGTCAATATCGCGAGATGCCGCTAACGTACTCGCGGGAGTACCTCCTATATGGCTGCTGGCCATCGAGAAGAAAGAGATATGGGACGAGCAAGAAGAGTGCAGAAGATTTCGAGGACAGGTGACTGAAGAAGAGAAGGATCGCATCAAAAAGATTGCAAGGGAGACCCTTATGACAAGGTGGCAGAACGAATGGGACTCATCGTCAGATGGACGATGGTCCTATGCGCTCATTCCGCGCATCAGAGAATGGATGTCGAGAACACATGGAGAGATAGACTACCGACTTACGCAGGGGCTAAGTGGCCACGGCTGTTTTGGAGGGTACCTCGCGAAGAGAGGGCATAAACCTAATACAATCTGCCAACTGTGTACCCAAGAAGACGACGACGCAGAGCACACGCTGTTCGTCTGCCTTGCATACGACCAGGCTAGGACGGAGCTAGCATCGCAAATCGGAGTACGGTTGTCGAAAGACAACTTAGTTTCAGGCATGCTTACATCGCCCGAGAACTAGGAAAGGATAGCTACCTTCATAAGGAAGGCCATCCAAACCAAAGAAGAAAAGGAGAGAGAAGAAGGAAGAAGAGACTGAAGAGACTTCAAGACTGACATAGGCTAAGAAGTAAACCTGAACCCTTAATCCCCTATCGGGGGGACGGGGGACGTAAGGAAGCTACAGCATACGCCGAGGGATCGTAGGATCAGAACACGCCCCACTGAAGTAATACTGAAAAGGAGTCCCGGTGGGCGCTTGGTGCCGCACGGACCACTCAGCTACCTGGCCGGGGGGTAGTTGACGCCCGCAAAAAAAAAAAAAAAAACACACACACACGCGCGCGCACACACACACACTAAGGTTACCACTTTTACATAAAGTATCTTTTTATAATATTTTATAAAATAAAAATATTAACATTCACCGAATTCTAATGGTATTATATACGGCAGAAAATAGTAATAGTTTGACAGTGCAGTTTTCTTATGGCATAGATATTTCGACAAAAAAAATGATGTAAATGACATATCTATACAATATATATATATATATATATATATATATATATATATATATATATATATATATATAGAACAACTATGTAATATCTTTATCTCAGGAAAATATAATTTTGACTATTTTGTTAAATGTTGAATGTTATTCGTATTTTAATAAACGTTTATTTGTGATTTAATTAATTTTTCAATTATAAGGTTAATATCATATTTGCCGCTATAGTCACAAACCCATTCCCGAAGCTTATGGAATTATATTTAAAAATTTTGTAAGATAAATATTTTCGCGCTAATAATTTTACAAACTTTTTGACAAGATTATACGACGTATAATTGATATGTTTTCAATTATAATCAATAAAATCAGTGGTCATTAATAAAAAATGTAAATTTTAATATATTTCTCGTAAAACAACATTATCTCTTATGTCAGTTGCTTGGATTCCACATTCGGCATCTTCTTAGGTGATGGATAGGGAAATATCTTCATCAGAGATAACGACATAATGGTAATTGGAAATACAGATTTTGAAACATTCAGAATATTTTTCAATTTATAGAATAATTTTTCGTTATTCATATTCTTTAAATGCAAAAGAAACAACATAATGACGATTACGAATGAACCTTAAATAAAAATTATAAGTACCGAACTTACAATTAGTCCAAAGCGGAAAAAAAATTAGTTGAATAACTTGAATAAAGCTATATTGGTTTTTAAAAGGCGTACTCACGTGACATATAGGGGACTGGCAAGTAAAGTAAGCAAAATATACCTCCCCCTGCCTTCAGATCTGCCTATATATATAATAAAATTTACCATAATAAATCTGTATTTCGCGGTTGACTCAATAATATTCCAAGTAGGGCCAAAAGAACTTGTCGAGTAGTATTTTGTTTAACATCGCTCAAAATCATCAATAACTTATGTACTAGTTGTAAATCTCTCATAAGTCGAAGATTAGCGCGTTTTTCACTAGATTCTGCAACTAGTTCATATAAATGTTCGAGCAGGGAACGAAGTAGTTCCCCGGGAGCTTCATGCCAAACCTAAAATTAATAAAAGTTTATTGTTGACTAGAGAATACGATGTCTTGTTTTTTTCCAACGGCATTATAAAAAAACAAATATAGTACTTGTAAATCGCAAAGTAGATCTTGGAATGCAGTCACGTTAGGAATGGCACTAGTTTCTCTTCCACTATCAACAGTCCCGATTAAACTAAACGTTAAATGCAGAATATGAGAATTTAAAAGTGGACATTTTCGTCTCAACAACATTGCCAAAGTTTGATATCCTCTACGTCTATCCATTTCCAGTTGAGCCGCTTGATTTGAACGAACTACGCATACTAAAGCTTTAACAGCTGCATAAAGCGATTCAACATCTTGAGCCATAGCAATCATTCCTTAAGAATAGAACAATTGTAAGTTATTAAATAAACGCACAAATTGCCTCATTAGAATTGCATGCTAAATGAAATATTAGCTACCTAGTAATACTGAACATCCACCGACGTTATCAATCATTATTGCAACAGGTTTGGGATTGAAAACTCGAACTCCTAAATAACCAACTACAACGCCACCCAAAGCTCTTGCCGGGCCACTTAAATGGCCAGCTGAGTTATGTAAAACTCTTATGGGAGTAGCATTTTCATGAGATGACATTCCGAGCTATTTTGAATTCAACAATTATTAATAGATATTTTTTAATGAATTTTGTCAATCTTTGTGATGGTTTTTCATATACCTGTTTAGCGATCGATTTATTATCAGCTCGACTATAAACTTTTCTTATTTTAGCAAGCGTTAGTTGTGACATTGCTTTAGCATTCAAACCGAATACAACTTTTTCTTCTGATACAAATGAAGACAGGGGCTCCGAACCTAAAATTTCATTTAATTTACTGATTATGTTTTTGATTCTACGAAGATATGGCTGGAGTCGGGTTACTATTGCTAACTGAGAATTGTATTTACCTGACAGTTGCGGAGCTTGCAAACTTCCCATATAATGTGGGCCTAATTTGAATAAATGCTGCATGTTCTGAAAACTGAAAACTTCCTCGACAAGGTGACATGGACCTTGTTTCCAGGTGAGTCTTGAGTACCGTCGCCAACATGGAGGTGTACCTATATAGCCATAAACTGGTGATGCGATTGTTAAGTTGGCAGCGCCTCCTCCAGGAGTCTGAGTGATGTAGTGGAGCTTAAAGTCATATTAATTTAATTAGGATAATTATTCATTATAATCATTTTATTTGTACTGTACATTGACTACCTTTTGGCTATGGATATGCTGGCCATCCAAGTACAACGAGAAACTAGAGTTCTTTAAAACAGCGCGGTTCAAGACAATTGCAATATGATGCCACTGTCCTTCGTGTAATAAATCAGGACACCAAACTCGAGCGCCGCATTCACCAGTACCTTCGGGTTCCCAATCTCCAATGTCTGTTAAAAATAATCGATAAGTATATTTTCAACAATACTATGAGTATTACCATTTAGCTGCCAAATACGCAATTATATAGAAGCTTACTTTGCGGGAGGGCGGTCTCTTGAGTAGACACTACAATAGCTTTATCTCTAGCACTAAGAACTGCAGATAGGCATATCAAGTCTCTCCCTGATGGAGGACTTCGAATCAATGTGAGTAATCTTACGCAATGAGCATCTGTTCGTGGATCGCTGAACTTGTCTACACATATCCACGTGCTGAACGTTAAACCAGTTTGTGGAGGAAAAAGTCTGTCTCCTGCACATATACAGTAGTTTCAATAATTTAATTCAAAGTATCATTAAATTGAAATGATTTTGGAAAGACACACGATTACATACCTGATCCAATTCCACCTAAGACACTGTTATCAGTGGATACTACTGTTGGTGGTGTAGTACTTTGCGGAGCAATACTAGGCAAATAAAGGCAAGCAAAACCTTCCGCACTCATGTCAAATTCAACAAACGGAGGTAATGTACAGGATCCGTGCGCTCGAAAATCTTTAGGCGTTGTCATCGACACTAATGTTTTTATTCGAGTTAACGGAACTGGACTACCGCGAGGATTTTTTGGCTCGATCTCGTCTAAAGAAATGCAGCATAATGGATCTCCTAGTCTTAGAAATTCCCTGTGTTATGAAAAATAAAAGAATATAAGTATATGCATATTTTATTGATTTAATTTTTATCCGAAAAAAAGTATATCGTCTTTCTTAAAGATTTATCAATAACTTGTAATTTTCTATATAATGCTGAATAATTGTCACTAACTTTTTATATGGAACAAGCACTTTCCGTACTAATTTATTTAAAATTCATAGAGAAATTCATCAATGAAAAATAACTTGAATAAAATTAATTTTTGAATGTTTAATAGTATAGAGATCATTAATTACCTTTTAAGTTACGAAAAATATACCTATTATATTTATAAATACGAATTCTGATTCCAAAAGAAAACAAACAAAAATCATCAAGCCAATGATAAACGTTAATTGAACATTCGCAATAGGTTTTTTTGAACGGATTAGGTATAGTCCAATCAATAGCAAAAATTGAATTGATGGAAAAATCTTATAAAAAATATATAAAAAAATGTAAATAGATGTTCTATACAAAATGCAACTCGACATTTTGTATCAGTTTTTTATAAGGAATCACAATTTATAAAAACGGATTTTTTACATCTGCAAGCCATGGTATGCATTTTAAATGAAAACATTTTAGAGGAAAGTTGTGGAAACATGAAAAAACTACAATTCCAGGCATCGCGCGATTATTCTTTTTATTCATTCTAACCCTCGAAAATGACCATTATAATATATCGAATATTCATAGCAAAAATTACTTTTTTAATTTTTATTGCTGTTAAGACAAAACTCTTACGATTCTAAAAAAATATCTCTCGTACGATTGAATATGTTAATTAATTGCTAAGCTATACTAATTAGTTAACTAAATGATGGTCAAAGTATGTAGCTGTAATTTTTCTTTTGGTTTAAGGAATTGAGTTGCAAAAAACTCTATTACACTTTTTCCTTTTTTTTAATAAACATGTGAAAATTGTTATAAACGTTCGATTAATTATTTTACAATCGTGATATCGAGTGCCGGATTATTATTAATAAGGATTTCATTATTGATGCGCGAACGGGCCGGGGTGTCTGAAAGCCTGACTGCCGCCCGAGTCATAGGCCGCTCGGCTGTTAAAAAGGCCTACATACGGAGCAAATTCACCTCGTGCGAATTGCCACCTATCAATTGTTGTTGTGTAATGAAAAAGAACACAGTTTAAATTATATTATTTAATATATGTACGGTGCAATACAGTCCAAAGAGATAGCGATGTACTCGAGAGCGCGGCTTCAACTCAACAACACAGCAGGACAAATTAGTGTGTTAATAGGCATGTTATTTCAAAAATACAGTAGGTGGCGCTCACCCTCGAATATAAAGGTATACTACGTGCATTTCCATATACATTCGCGTATTCTTATAACAAGCACAACCAGCACCAGGTATGCCGATTACACAAATTAATCATATCAGAATGACGTACGGGGATATAAATTACATTGGCAATAACCAAGCAATACTTTATTTTGATAGAAGTTGTAACGGTCAAATATGAATTGAACCGTTTGCGTCCTCACTATCGATACCTTTGACAGTCAAATGACTCGCCGATTAGAATATTACGCGGAATCGTAGGCGCTTCGCGCCTGGATCGTCGAGACGGCTCGCTGTTGAGGCACTCGTCTGGCGACCGTTGACCTAAGGACAACTGATCCGACGGATTTCTCTTGGATTCCCGCTGCTGTCGCTGGTCATCGCGACAACTCGCTACTTACGTCGTTGTCAGATCTCTGACTGCACCGTACTACGGTGGATTGAGCATCAGAGCAGCACTCTAAGGGGAGATGGAGTATGGCGAATCCCGGAGCGACGAGACGGTTGCGAGCGATCCTCTGCGAGTTGAGCATCTGAGCGCACGCGTGAGATCTTTGACTGTCCCGATAAGTTAAGTAGGCTATTTCGTTAGACAATACGTCGTTTCATTATCGCGAGGGTATATATGCATTCGAATTTTAATTATGATTTTATTGTAAATTTTTAAATAAACGATCTCGCGAGCTGTACTTTCCTAACATTTAACATGTTCATTTCGTGTACGATAAGATAGCATTTAGTAAATGTTACATGGTATCAAAGGGAAAAAATTTTTTACCAATTCTATATATTCACTAAAATTACAATCTAAATATAAAGACATCGTAATTGTAGATGAAATTGACTTTACATCTTCCTGCAAATGCGATTCGATCTTTCAACATCGAGATATGTTCCCACATTATAGAGTAACATGTGCAGTTGGATTAACCTGTCCTGCAAGATTAATCGAAATTGAAAGATTCGTATTTGCAAGAAATATGAAAATACCTACAGGAAACTTTTTTACACCCAAATAAATGCTCATCAGATTCTGGTGAATATATAAAGATAAAATGCCCAATTATAAGAATGTAAGTTTGTTTATAACAACAGTACAATACTGCTGAATATAAGTATGTGAGATAATACCTGATCAGTAAATAAGTATATGATAAAACTGTTAAAAAATTATATGTATATATATGTATATATACAGGGTGTCCCATTTTAAAGGAACCATCCCGAAATTTTCGACGGTTGGCGTTGTACAAAAAATTGTTCAGACAATAGTTGTTTGGGACAATGGGGGCAACCTTTCTGTGAAATCCCATTTGACCTTGCGATTTATTTTCAAGGTCATTTGAAGGTCAGTCATTTTTTGAATAGGAACCTATATTTTTGATCCCGGATTCGGAAAGAGCGGAAAATTCTACGTTCAGATAACATATTCTGTGTGGGGTGCGGTTAACCCCCCCCCCCATCTAAGGTCATGTAGGGGTCAAATTTATGATTTTCTTCATCACAGGGATGATCGGGCAAGGGTAAGGTTAATTGTAATAACCCAATAACTCCAATACCCAATAACTCGATAACCCCATAACCCCAATAACCCAATAACCAAGAGATATTTTGAATAAAGACCCCCATTTTATATCCCGGATTCGAAAAGAGCGGGAAAATCTACGTTTAGATAAAGTATTATGTTGGGGGAGCGGTTCACCCAACCCCCCATCCCACTGGGGCAAGGGTGAGGTTAATACAGGCTTAATATTAGGCTTTTAATACATGAAGTCGACTTTGAAAATCAACCTGAAGTTTAAGTTCAAGGTCACTGTTGTTTGAGCCTACAATTTTTTTGGGATATGGGGGTTATTGAATTATATATTGGGGTTATCGGGTTATTGGATTATTGGGATATCGAGTTATTGGGTTATTACAATTAACCTTACTCTTGCCCGATCATTCCTGTGCATAGATAAAGAAAATCATAAATTTGACCCCTACATGATCTTAAGCGGGGGGGGGGGGGGTTAACCGCATCCCACACATAATACGTTATGTGAACGTAGAATTTTCCGCTCTTTCCGAATCCGGGATCAAAAATATAGGTTCCTATTCAATAAATGTCTTTGACCCTCAAATGACCTTGAAAATAAATCTCAAGGTCAAATCGGATTTCACAGAAAGGTTGCCCCCATTGTCCCAAACAACTGTTGTCTGAACAATTTTTTTGTATAACGCCAACCGTCGAAAATTTCGGGGTGGTTCCTTTAAAATGGGACACCCTGTATAGGGTGTTTTGTTGTTCGTTTAGATTATTTTAAAAATACAGAAGTCATTATGATTTAAACGTTAAAATTTATTGGATACCAGCGTACGTTGGGATTGAGGAAAATGTATTAGGGGATCAACAAGCTAAGCTAGCTACTAAGCAACATCCAATAATTACGTATATTCCTTACTCAGACTTTAAAGTAATGTTCAAAAAATTTCCAACGAATGAAACTACTAGTTTGATTAAAGATCAGGAATGTTTCAAAAGCCATATTTATTTTCAAAGGTACTAGAAGTACTCTGTAAAACCATGGTTTTTATCCTATTCACTCAATCGCGAGCTTATGGTATTTATATGCAGATGTCAAAGTAATCACGTTAATTTAAGCAAATCTCTCGCTAGAATTAATATAACTGATGACCCAGATTTTGATTACGAACAAACAATACAAGATTGAAATCATGTAACATGGAATTGCCCTAGTTATAACCCTCCAAGGAAAGCTCTAATTGAATCTCTGGCCAAAACAAAATTATATCCACCATTTGATATTAATTATATTCTAATTGAACCCAATATTTATATTCTCGAAAAGATTTACAATAATTATCAAAGCTGTAACATTAAAACGTGATAATCACATTATATGGATATAGTGATTAAGTATTTTTATGTATTTTTTTTCTTTTTATTTTGCTTTATATATTTAAGATTAAGTCATATATATTTTCTTTTCTCTATTTCTTGTAGTTTAATAATATTTAAAAGATAATAAATTAATAAAGTCGTCAATAAAAAAAAAATATATTCTCGTTAGGAGAGTTCTACGTTTAGTTTGTACAAAGGAAATTATTAAATTTGAATTGATCGAAGGTAATGTCAAAATTTTATCTGCCAGAAGGTTAAACAGAAGAATTGATAAAGAGAATGGTATAAATTATAAGAAGTCAAACTTAGTTTTGATGGTTATAAATGCTATAATATTCCAAAAATATATATCTTCATTTGGTTAATATAAAATTATTGAATTCAAAGAAAAGCCAAAAAAATATTTTTAAAATACCAAATTGAGACATTTCAAATTAACATATAATGATAACTGTAATTGTGAACATTATGATAGTGATAATAATATGCTGTCCTAATATTGATAACGATCTTATTTGTGTGAATTATAAATAAAATCAATACCCTGCTGATTCAAAACATCCAATCGAAGTAGGAGATAATAATTTATGATATAGCCTTCTTCAAGAAAATTTCTCTAGATGAAGCTCGACAATCATACATTGATAAGATTAATTAATTGTATTCCAGTCATTTTCTTAAATTTTCATTTATTAGTAATTGTACTCTAACTTTATCTATTAATAATAATAATAATTCATTATCTACAAAGGTTACCTTTAGTGACATTTTGAAAATACATTTATACAATGAGACTAAATATCCTGGACAGAAGACTGTTAATATTAAATTCAATGAGAAAAGCGGGTTATTTATATGGGTCGGAGGTGTGGGAATGATCGAACCAAGAAGAGTTAGAAAAGGTGCAAGCGAAAATAGTCAAGATGGTATTAGGAATAAACAGGAATACCCCAGATTATATATAGAAGATGGAGGCAGGAGTAGAAGGCCTTTACTTAGAAATAATAAAGAGGGCGATGAACTATATAGGTGAGATCTTGGAGATAGAGGATAATAGACTACCTAAAATATGTTTAAAGGAGGAAATAAGAGGAGTGTTGAACAACAATCCAACAAGAATCGAACAAGACATTTAAACAAGATAGAGCAAGATAGACGAAAAGGGACGGAGAAGGTCACTTAAAAGAAAAATAGGCAAGAATAAGACGTGGCAGCATTGGAAAAGAGGGAAACAAAGGTTTCACCACGCAGGAATGCAAAGTATGTGGCAAGGAGCAAGAAGACCTTCAACACATCTAGATCTGTGAGACGGCTAGGAAGGGCATTAAAAAGAATAGATAAAGGTGGTAGATGAGTGGAGGGGCAACAATAGGGGAGAAGAACTGAGCGAAAAATTAGGAATGATACTGGAAGGGAAACTGGAGAAAGGAACATATCGATATTCCAGGGCCTTTGAGAAGCTAGTGGAAAATAATAAGAAAAGTAGGGCAAAAGGAAATCGAGTGAAGGTAGTGGGGGGGGGGGGGGGGGGGGTTGTGATACGAGGCTAACAGGGACGGAAGAATTAGGAAGTAGGGAGGGAAGCAAGAGTAAGATATAAAGAAGGCGAAAAGAAAACAGCAATAGGAAGGAAGGAAACATGAGAAGAAAAAAGATCCAATCCTACGAAGGCTGTCGGACAATTTTTAGACCGCGAATGAAACCATATACGTCGATAGGCATCCTATGTAAAAAGGAAGTATTATATAATGAGGGATAATGTAAGCAATCAATTGTATACTTATCAGGAAATAAATACTATACTACTACTATTCATTTACACAATGAATCTAATAATAAGGTTGAAATTCAAGTTGCCTTAACCCTTTAACGTGCAAATGGCCAAAACTTTAACGTCAACTTCAAGCTTGTACCTTTCAATTATAACCCGTGTGGAAAAAATATTGGTGTGTATAAAAGTCTCATCTTGCGAATGGCATCGTCAGATTTATCAATAAATAAGCACAAATTGTTTATTTTTAACAATAAACAAAAAAAAATGGAGATTTTCGATTTTTTTAATGAATTTTTTCAACTATGTTCTTAGCACTCATGAACATTCTAACCCATTAGGATGCCCATTAAGATGCGGGACCCGAAAGTTGTACTTCAAAAATATACTTTGATAAATTTTGATTTTTATTGTTAACCAATCCAAAATGGCGCCCGAATGCCTGAAATTATTACAAAATCACAGTACACTTTTGAAGTATAATCAAAGTTTTAGCGGGAAAAATGACTTGCCTGAGTCTTGTAACAATAAATTGGATGTATATTAGCAAAATTAGCTCAGAAAATTAATTTTCAAGATGGTGGCCGTGATGAGTCAGCTAAAATAACGTACTTACACAGTTTTATAGACACTATATAGTCTTCAATCCTCTTTATTCAATAGTTTTATGAACTCTCAGCACCATTAGATCCAAATTCATTATTATCTTATCAAAATTCAAAATGGTGTATCCAAGATGGCGGACTGCAAACTCAAAAACAGCAATTCAGGAAAAAGGAAAAATACAATCGTATTCTACGTGAAGTTTGGAATCAAAATTCTTCTATTTACTTTCTCGGTCAGAGCCGCGATTCTCGAGTAAAAAATTATCAAAATACCGGAAATCGAAAATTTGCCTCCAAATTTACCAACCATGCTTTCAGAAGGATGTACAATGGCTTTACAATGGCAGTTCTGCGTTTTTTGCCTCTGATTTATTCGTAATTCAGAGTTGCCCGATTCTTACCACGAGGAGGTAAACGTTTTTGAGAATCATATTTTTTGTATTGTTTTTGTAAATTTTTTTAATTTTTTTTTTGTATTTTTTATACATTCATATGAAAATTTATATGAAAACTATGATCTTTAAGAGCATTTATCTCTTTACAGTGAGAACTGGAAAACTCCGTGGTTGCAAAGTTTGGAGGCGAATTTTCGATTTCTGGTATTTTGATAATTTTTCAATCGAGAATGGCGGCTCTGACCGAGAAAGTGAATAGAAGAATTTTGATTCCAAATTTCACGTAGAATACGATTGTATTTTTTATTTTTCCTGAATTGCTATTTTTGAGTTTGCAGTTCACCATCTTGAATCCGCCATTTTTAATTTTGATAAGATAATAATGAATTTGGATCTAATGGTGCTGAGAGCTTATAAAACTATTGAATAAAGAGGATTCAGTGTCTATAAAACTGTGTAAGTACGTTATGTTGGCTGACTCATCACGACTGCCATCTTGAAAATCAATTTTCTGAGCTAATTTTGCTAATATGCATCCAATTTATTGTTACAAGACTCAGAAAAGTCATTTTTCCCGCTAAAACTTTGATTATACTTCAAAAGTGCATATTACTGTGATTTTGTATTAATTTCAGGCATTCGGGCGCCATTTTGGATTGGTGAACAATAAAAATCAAAGTTTTTCAAAGTATATTTTTGAAGCACAACTTTCGGGTCTCGCATCCTAATGGGGATTAAAAAAAAATAAAAAATCTCCATTTTTTTTGTTTATTGTTAAAAATAAACAATTTGTGCTCATTTATTGATAAATCTGATGATGATATTCGAAAGATGAGACTTTTATACCCAATCATTTTTCCTCACGGGTTATAATTGAAAGGCACGAGCTTGAAGTTGACGTTAAAATTTTTGGCCATTTGCACGTTAAAGGGTTAACACATCCCTCTAACATTGATGTTTATCTATTTTTATGAACATGATTAAATATCTGACTGAATCAATCAATATGATTTCATTAAATAAAAAACATTAAAATTAAAAAGATCTGATTTCAACTGAAAAGTCAAATAATTCGGTTTTATTTCAAAAACCATGAATACTATTTCTTTCAATCTCAATTTATCTCAAGTGTCAATGTTAAGTTCAAATGAGAATAAAATAATGATTCTATAAATTCATCTAATCAATAATTCATTATCGATAAAAAAGAATGTTTATTTTAAAAATGCTATCTGAAAACAATTTATATTTTAAAACTTAAAATAATTAATATGGACTCTATCTGATATCCTTGGGTTCTTGGATTTACCCTTAGGATGTAATGGTAGTCTTTAAATATTAATATTTATGTTAGGAATCTAAGAAAATACTTAAATTCTCATTGTAAGCTTCTAAAATTTGCCGACATTAAGATTATTCAATGTTGTGGTGATAATTTCGATAAAATGATGAAATATATTGAAGATAGTTTAGATTCCTTATTTTAATATATAAAATTTAGGAATTTATTAACCCGTTTCAGCCGAAAACATTACTCTCGTTACACCGATCTTTGAACATTCATAACTAATGTTACAGATGTCAAAAAAAATTGCGAGAAGCTTATTTTGAAAGTTTAAGAGATGCTCTTTCGGATGGTGCCCACGAAAATTTTCCTGGAAATTTTTTATCCGGGTAAAATGCAGTTTAAAAAACAACACGAATTTTACACAACTTTTTTGTTTAAGTCGAATTTTTAAAATGTTTTCGCGGTATTGGAATGTTGGAACCTTACGAAACAGTAGAATAAATGTTTAAATTCAAAGAATATGTGATTCCCGGATCATATTATCTAGTCCAATTGTTAAATTAGAAATTTCTATAATTTATATGGAAGCCGCAAACTTATTTGTTTACGATTAAAAAAGCGTTGATTTTTTCGAAGTTCAAAATAAGGGGTTGAAATTAAATTTTTTCATTTGCCACTAATGTAATATTAAAATTGACGTTTTGACAGAGATTGAACCATTTTATAACTCAATTCTTTAAGCCAAAAAAAAATTATAGCTACATATTTTGGCCATCTTTTAGTTAACTAATTATAATATCTCAGTAACTAATTAACATATGCAATCGCATGAGAAATAATATTTTTTCGACACTCTGTGCGCATAGTGCGTCTTTTCCGCATGCTTGGCAGAAAACGCGTTGAAAATCGCACTTTCCACACGTCATATAAAAAAATACGGCACGGCACATGTTCGGGAAAAAGTTTCTCGTCTTGTGTACCTTTTCACCCTCACTTCGCTCAGGCCTAAACCCACATGAGATAAGAATCTACTTTCCCGCACTTGTATCGTAATGTACTATTTCAGAACCATAAGAGCTTTGTCGTAATAGCCATAAAAATTTTAAATAGTACATTACGATACAAGTGCGGGAAAGTAGATTCTTATCTCGTGTGACGTTTACGCCTGAGTGAAGCGAGGGTGGAAAGCTACACGAGACGAGAAACTCTTTCTCGAACATGTGCCGTACCGTATTTTTTTATACAACGTGTGGAAAGTGCGATTTTCAACGCACGTTTTCTGCCATGCATGCGGAAAAGACGCACTTTGCGCACAGTGTCGAAAACATTATTTTTTATATATTTTATCGGATTTTTCCATCCCTCAATTTTTGCATGAAATGACCGTTTTTTTGTCTCTATTGATTGGACTAATAGACAAATCCTCTAAAGTTAGATATCTTATTACATATTGTTAATTGAACGTACCTGAGATCTTTTGGTTCTAAAGATTGAGCAGCAAGACGTTCTATGATGTATTGGAGAGATTGATGAAGAGGGTGAGTTTCATCTTGAAGTGCAAGTCGACCAACGTTTAATAATTCACCAGCCATGCCTGCGTCACACATGACCTGTTGGTTCCTTTCAGAACGCACCAAGCTTTTTATAACATCTGCTATATATATTTGCAAGGTGAGAGCTAGCTCGGGATTTGGTTCATCGGGTACCGATGGAAGTAGATGAAGCATTCCAACAACAACTCCAGGATGAACTATAATCGGTTCTGGTATAGGTGGATTCAAATTCAATGAATTTAGATTTGGGCGTTTGCCGCTTCCTGGAGAATCCAAGGATCTCTGATGTTCTATACTAGATTGTTTATGACTCGGCGATTTCATCCCTATACCGGCTAAACTTGGCTTGTCAAAAGCATCTAAGGCTACGTCGTAAAGCAATCGGAATAGTAGACACGCATATCCAAGAACTTGAGGAATTTCGGCTGGAAAGCTCGGTTCTAGTACACTGCCAGTAAACAAGGATAACCATGTGTTATGAAAATTCATATTAACAGCAGTTTCAGACGCTTCTAGTTTCGTTTGAGTCGTGAAACTGCCTAGAAGTCTCAAAGTGTCACAAAGACTGGATTGACATATCTGTATGCACACATGAGAGCTTATTAATTATTTTTTCTATATAAAAAATGTTAACTTTAAATTACATTAGTTACAGCTTCGTACCTCTTGGTGAAAAAACTTAGCATTTGCTGGCTCGAATCGCATAGCAGTACTTATCGTATGAAATACTACGTGCAATAGAGTCAACATTTGAGCTTCATCATGAACAGTTTTATGGGCTACGTCATTGCAGGGCTCTGAGCTTTGGCAAGCTGGTGGGCCCAGATGACCTTCCATAGATACCAAAACTGACATAACGTAGACAAATCCTCCAACTTTTCTGAATACCGTACGAGTACGATGAGATTCTCGAAGACATGCAAGTAGTGACTGTGAAATGATAAATCAAAATTATTTTTGTAAAATTGAGATTTTGGTTGTGTCCAATTAGAAATTTTTTAAATATTAATACTTAAAAGTATATGATTAAATGGATCTGATAACAATTTTGAATACCAAAAATTCGGTGTACTTTTAACAAGCTTATTTCTACAGTTATTAGCAAGATTATAAGTCTGAATACCAGTGACAAGTATTGAAATCGTACATACTGTTATACCCTTCAAAATATTCGATAGTAATGTTTATGAAAATGGTTGATTTTTTATTGAAAAGCTTACGTTTAGTAGAATCTGATAAAATTAATTCTACCAGGTTTTTGAAAAAAACTTATAGCTCGAGCGGCTCGAGCCATGAGATTTTCTGAGCTTTCTGAGTTTAAGTCTTTTATTAGAAATAAAAAACCTTAAAATTCCGTAACAGCAGAGAATCAGTATGAACAATTTCAAGTATTCTGAAACAATGAATGTTAAAAAACTCATTAAAAATAATGAAAGTAATGAAAGGCTTGTTTGTGTTTATAGTTATGACCTCGAAAATTTGAAGCGACTTACTAGCTCGAAAAACTAGAAATAATGGAGAGCTCAAGCTGACGTGAAGCTTGCAGCTGAGCCAAGTCGAGCATTCGTGTGCTCTTACCTTCTGTTTCATTTTTTGTCATATTAATTAACATATTTAATATAAATTACTTTTTACAAAGGTTGATTTTTCATTTTTTTTACAAAATATATTACAGTGGAAAAATGTGTACTAGTAGAACAGTTCCGCGTATTGTAAATTCATATTGCAAATTGTTATAAATTCAACGAGTCAAATTATTATTAAACGTTTATTCTAATCTTTAAATAAAGATTGCTATATAATTACAATATTTATTTCGATCTTATAAATAAAAAATTCAGATTATTGATTAGTAACAGAACATAATCAGTATAATTTCAAAGCATAATCTCTTGTTTTTACGAAATGATTTACTCGCCGAAAGTTTCATAAAATAGATGCTAAAATAATATCATTGCAGTGTATTTATTGATTTCCATTAATTTCAAAATGACCTGTATCAATTATGGTAAATTAAATTTTTATTATTGAAATTTCAACTTGAAATCATATACATGTATGAACATACATGCTTAATTGTCGCTACGTAACGGTATATCATGTGGTCATATCTCAGTCAATAAAATCACAAATACAATGCTGCAATATAGGATCCATCACTGTTTAGTGTAAGTGGAATACGTAGAATTAGGAAACCCAATTAAAATTATTAATCATCGTGGTCTTAAATCGTCAAGCGTCATTTCTGTTCCAATCATTCAGATAATTTTAAGTATTCAATAACTGTATTACTGTACTTACTTTCAAAATGTGTGTCTTTAAAACGAGCGCATTAGATGGTGCTGAATGCATAACACCAAGCAAAGTAGCCATGTCATCATCTCCACCAACACTGAGTATCAATTCTCGAACGATTCCCAGTGCTTGAAATCTACAGTCTAAATAAGGAACGAGATTATGAGCACATCGTGCTCCGCCACATTCGCGAAAGACATTTGCGTTTTGAACATTTCCCGCCAGTAAAATCATTAATGCTTCAATAATTAAACTTCCTAACTTCTCTTGTTTTGGACACATTTTGTACTCTAAAAGTAATAAATTCAATAAATCATCATCAAATTAAAGTGGTAAATATGAACAACTAGTACAATATATTGTAACTATACCTTGACCCTGATCAAATGCGGCTTGTTTATCTTTCAACAAAGTTGCATATCTATTTAAACATGTGACAAATACCTCTAATAAGCCTACTTCTCTGTATACGTCTTTAAATATTACGTTGTGTCTACAAGATATTAATTTACATAAATAATAATCCAGAGAATTCCAGATGCATTAAAATTATATACTTACCGAAGTATGCGAATGAGCGTTTCCATGCACATTATACTACATGTGACTGAATTGTTAGACTTTAATAATATAGACAACGATATGAGTTCCTTGCAAGGCACGAAGTTCAACTGAAATACTATAAATTCTAAGAGCTGAAAAAATTTTTCTTGAATTTCTAAATTTTTCAAGTGAATTTTTTCTGCAAACTGAGATAATGTATTTTGGCCTTCAAGGATAAAATAATTAGCGTTGTCACTGTGATAGACGCTAGAAATAGCATCGAGTATTGTACAACAAAGAAGTGGAGAGTTTGACTTTATGAAAACTGACTGTAGCACTTGAAAAGCTTGTATGTTACGAACACTGCCGCCTGTGAAAAACCACGGAATAAGTAGTATTTTATTCATTCGACTTTAGACTTTATTTAACATAAATTATTTCACAGCCACAGGAAAAAATTGCTTGATGTAGCAGAATCACTATGTCCAATCAACAGAGACAAAAAAAGCCTGTTTCGTACAAAAATTGAGGGATGAATTGAGCCAACGTAAATCGCTTCGGAGTAACGCAAATAGAAACTCTATATAAAGTGTAACACGAGATTTTGAGTCAGATTTTTTTTATAAGGGCTCAAAGTTGGCGAAAACAGATTATTTCAATCTACAAGCCACGGTATGTATTTTACCTGAAAAAGTTTAAGAGAAAAGTTGTAGACAATTCTAAAAGCTACAATTTGAGTAGTCGCGCGATTATTTTCATTTGTTAGTTATTGTAAAAAGTCCGAAAAACCCCCGAAAATATCCATTTCTACTATATCGAATATTTATTGTAAAAACGACTTTTTTTAATGTTTATCTCTCTTAAAGGTAAGCTCTTGTGATTCTAAAAAAAATCGTCACACGATTATATATTTTTATTAGTTACTGACTTATTCTTATTAGTTAACTAAGAGATACCCAAAGTACGAGGCTGTAACTTTTTTTGATCGAAGATATCGAGTTGCAAAAGAGCTCAATCTCTTTGTCAAAACGTTAATTTTAATAAATGATTGGGGGCGAACGAAAAAATTAATTTACAAAACCTTATTTTTGATGTAAAAAAAGTGCACCTTCTTTTCTGTATAAACAATTAGATTTACGGCTTTCCTATGCATTATAGAAAATTCTATCTTAGAAATATATATAGCTGAGTTGAAAACGAATATTAAAAAAAAAAATTTTTATTTTCGATCAATAGGAGCCGAGTGAAGGTTTTTTTTTTAAATCGCTATTGTTGTACTAATAAAAATTAATAAATCGGACTAACGGCGTTCGATTGTTAATACATTATATTTTCTTATTACGATACGAGGCTTTATATAGTTTGGCTCTTTAACAATGATAATTAGGTTTTAATTCAACCATGAGAAAAGCCGCCGGCCGCGGACCATGGTGGAGGGCCTCTCTCGCGTGCTTGAAAATACTGAAAGTCTGCGTTCAAATAGACGCGCTCCGTAAAAATCAAGCTTATCTCGCGAACTAGTGCATCAATTTCGATCATTTTTTTTTAATTTGGGGTAGCTTTACAATTTATTACGAATGGTCTATTCGTAATTACTGTATTTATTTACAGTAATTTATTATTAACTATACTCATCTGGTGAGTTTGAATTAGCATTACGGTGCAATTCTAATGGCTCGATAATGGTTTAATAAAAAGCTTAATTCGTTTTAATTCGTCTGACCATAAAACCCAGGTATACAAAATTACTCACTATGAATCCCAGGTATACAAAATAATGGTCGGCATGGATCAAGATCAGGCTCACAACTATAAGAGTACAACTACACTTATATCAGTGTATGTATCAACTGTAATTAATGATTACTTGCTATACGTAAATATGAGTAAATATAAACAGCATAAACAATGTATTTTCAATTACTCGGATTACCTGGGATTCGTAGTGAGATAGAATTTTCTATAATGCATAGGAAAGCCGCAAATCTAATTGTTTATACAGAAAAGAAGGTGCACTTTTTTTACGTCAAAAATAAGGTTTTGTAAATTAATTTTTTCGTTCGCCCCTAATCATTTATTAAAATTAACGTTTTGACAAAGAGATTGAGCTCTTTTGCAACTCGATATCTTCGATCAAAAAAAGTTACAGCCTCGTACTTTGGGTATCTCTTAGTTAACTAATAAAAATATATAATCATGTGACGATTTTTTTTAGAATCACAAGAGCTTTCCTTTAAGAGAGATAAACATGTAAAAAAAGTCGTTTTTACAATAAATATTCGATATAGTAGAAATGGATATTTTCGGGGGTTTTCCGGACTTTTTACAATAACTAACAAATGAAATAATCGCGCGGTGACTCCAATTGTAGCTTTTGGAATTATCTACAACTTTTATCTTAAACTTTTTCAGGTAAAATACATACCATGGCTTGCAGATTGAAATAACCTGTTTTCGCCAACTTTGAGTCCTTATTAAAAAAATCTGACTCAAAATCTCGAGTTGCATTTTATATAGAGTTTCTATTTGCGTTACTCCGAAGCGATTTACGTTGGCTGAATCCATCCCTTAATTTTTGCACGAAAATTTGTCTGTTGATTGGACATTTTAACTCGCTTCTTAAAATATAATCAAATATGGGGCCTTTGCCCTACGTTAATAGGATTGATGAAATAATTATTGAAAATTTTCCGTTTTTTTGAATTTGGTATGAGTACCGTCTTTTTTAAATTAAAATATGTTTTTGTGATAAAAATTAAGTGAAAAAATTCTGATTTAACATTTAGTTAGCGAGTTAAAAAATACACTGGGATCGAGTATTGGGATTATTGTATTAGATCATATGTTTTGTATGTCTCTTCATTAATAAAAATTTTACCTCTGTTACTTGGCTGAGGCAGAGTGAAATTAAGCATTTGAAATAAAGACCCCATACTAGCTGTACTTGGTTTTAATTCTGTATGTCCACACATAGTCAAAGATGCCAACATTAATACTAAGTTTCTTATAGCATCTTGAGCTTCAGCTTTATCGTCTTGCTCCAAGCGTGATGGAGCATGCCTAAAATGAATCAGTATATACAGGTATATATTCAATTTTCTTTTAATAACAATCCATATTTTTCGCTTGTTATACGCACTTTAAGAGAAATTCTGATAGAAATATATAACCCTGACAAGCCCGGAAATCATCTAGTAGAGTTTGAGATACCTCGCTAGAATCTTTTAGAAAACAAAATACAGTGACAAACATTTCTACTACTTCTAACGGCGCTAATTCAGGTACACGTTGCATGTTATCGATACAAAGTGCTATGCACCCCTTGTCTGAAAATAAAATTTATATTATTGTTGATACAAATATTTGTGTACTTTAATTATTAATTTAATTAAACATTTGAAAAGCGTTTGAAACAACGCACTGTGAATATAAGCTACAACGCTTTGTGTTAATCCATGTCGCGATAAGGTCATTAATATTTCTGCAGCACTTTTACGCCACATTACATTGTATAATGGACACCAATTTGTAATTGCTGAGAAAAGTAAAGTGAGGTCATCTTTTCTTGCTAGTTCTTCTGCTGGATATGGGTGACTGCATAGTCTTACAAGTAACTGAAAAAATATGTTCTCACAATACTTTCACTTTTAAACCTGTACCATTAAGTATTTTTTTTCTATACCTGAACAAATATTTTTTGTAACAGTATTCGCCTTTCTCTTGGTGTAAACTCACTATTTACAGTGGTTACATCAGCTTCTTCTGCACTCATTTCCGGCAGATCAAAAAATAAATATAGACACTTGACTAAAGTTGAAGGCACCGAAGCCATAGTCATTTCCTATCACAAAAAAGATTCAATATTGTTAATAAATCAATTTTCGTAAAACTTTTAATGTGATAAAATTCAATTTTCTGAAGATCTTACTTGAATTAATGATGTGTCGCCTGCTGCTAATAGATTTAAGGCTGATAGTAACATCCATCCATTACTTGACTCTTCATTATTTTCAATTTCAAGAAATTTTACAATTGCACAGCTTGCTGTTTCTGTACTCTGATTACTGGCTCTTTTGCGAATTTCAGCTACCATTAAATTAGATACTTCTTTTGTAAAAGCCAGAATATCCCAAAACTTTTCGTTCATGTCTCCCGATGGGCTGTTACTAAATACCTATGGTTTGATATATATATGTATATATATATATGTATATGTGTATGTGTGTGTGTGTGCATGTGTCAGACAAAAATAAAATAGCTATGCTGTATAATATTCACAGGTTACAATATATTTTTTCAAATTAAAAATATCAACCATTAAAAATAACAATTATAACTCGTACTGTTTTTATTAATGTACTATATATCATGTTGTGTATAAAAAATACAGATCATGTTCATTTCATATGAGAAATAAACAAATTATATTAATACATATTAATACATATGAACATTAGACATCAATTAATATTCAAATTTTTATCAATTATTATGGTGCTTAGAAAACACAAATTTAAAGTTCAGAATACTCACTTTGTCAAATAATGGTAGCATATTATACAGTTTGTCATCTCGTTCAGTATCAGATAATGTATGAGGTGGATGTGTATATTCAGAAAATAGTTTTTTTAAGTGCATCAGTCCAAGAGCTGTATGCTGTGAATTTTCAGCTCCTGTTAAGTTGTCTATATTTCCAGTGCTAGTAGAGCTCATACTGCTGATGCTACCAGCTCCTCTCAATTTACGCATTATATTCATCTTTGAAATTCTACTGAAAAAAAATAAAAAAAAACAAGTAAGTAGGATGAAATCTAAGTAGTTTTATATTTTTAAATTTATATTATGTATACACTCAAACTTAATAAATGTATTGAATTTTTTCATCTACCCATTTGCCAGGCTCTCATTCCTATTGGAATATCAATCTAAATATAGAGTTTTATCTCACTTGTATTGTATAGAAGTTTGTATGCATATAGATATACCTAGCGATAGAAATATCATTGATTGTCTGTTCTTCTGGTCTGGAGTATCAATTTTATTTTTCAACTCCAGTGATGTTATTATCAGTATTATTTTGTGAGAATTTTGAGGATATTACTATTAATTTAAAGCTAATTAATATTAATTTAAAGATATTACTATTGACTCAATGAATTCAATAGAACAGAAAATTAATAAGAGAAAATTGATCAATTGATGATTGTTCTTCATGAATCTTATTTACAGTAGAAAAAAATACTGCCTGTAAAACTTATTTTTCGTTCACAAAAAATGAAAATCGAGACTCAAAATCATAACCGGGAAACATGCATAGACGTACAACAGAAAAAATTGTAAATCACAAATAATTTCCGTTGAATAAGAAAAAATAATTTTTATCGCTATAGAACTCCACAGCTTATTGTAGTAATAAAAGACAATATTTGACGTTCGATTTGGAATGAATGCGAGGTCATAGCACGTGTAAAAATTAATAGTTTGATATAACTATTTATAAAAGTATTCAATTACGTTACGCACTTGGAATTGCGATTGATAAGAGATACGCAGATAATGACGGCAAGTAGTACGTGAGAAGGCTTGCAAGACAGCAACTATAAGAAATGTTTGCGGATATAGTAGTGTACATAAAAGAATTGTTCAAACAGTTGAACTCGTTTAAGACTCAGTGGGATTCTGCAAAAACGCGACATCCTTATGTGAAATATATCTTAAACAGAGCGGAGGAACTGGAGCAGAAGCTTTGTAAGCAGACAGCAACTGGGTGAGGAGAGTATAATATAATTACGACAGTGCTCAGTAGCTCCGTTATTTAGTTTGGATGGTTGAAGACATCTGTAAAACTGTTGCTAGAGAAGAAAGCGAGTACAAATCAGGCATATAAATTTTGGTGAGCAGACACATCAATCAGTTGGCTGGTGACGTCGTTGTTGCAAGTGGTTCAGCTATACTTGCAATGGATTTACCTGGGATTTGTCGTTGGGCTCAGGAAAGTCTACATTGTAAATTATCCAGTGGTTGACACCAACGTTTTGTGATCTTGGGCAGTCTTACAAAGTTCGCCGATAGCAGCCATACTTTTTTCTGGCAAAAGACACTGTAGCTCTCGGTTGACAAGGAAATTCGATGGATAGGGCGAGCGCGCGCACCCATACGAAGCAGACTAAGCTGAGCGGTAGAACGAGAAAGATAGATTGAGAGAGAGAGAGAGAGAGAGAGAGAGAGAGAGAGTGTGTGTGAAAGAGAGTGCGCGTGTGTATATGTCTGTAATGCTTACGGCGCAGGCTCGGCTGCTTTGACAGCTCGCAATGCAGTATGTATATATATATATATATATATATATATATATATATATATATATATATATATATATATATATATAGAGGTTGCTGTGGTTGAGCAATGTATCTTCTGCTTCGCTATATCCACTCTGCATGCTCAAATTGTGCAACCTAGACGAAGCGCCAGACACACGTACAGCACAACCCAGCACCCCGAGCAGTTTAGCAGTACAATTATTTACAGAGGAGTAGAATATAGGAAGTTAGGATTTTAGGAAGTGGTATATGCATAACTTAGCACAAATACGTTGGTCGATAAGGTAGTTTATAATCCAGCTCCAGTTCCCACACGCCAATTCTAGACATGAATTCTGCAAGCGCGCCTTTCAATTTCCTCACATTTCAGATGCCTATCTGATCTATTTTTATTTTGTACGTATCATTTGCTTTGTTTATAAAAATAATTTATAAATATTGTTAAAAAGAAATGTTTTTTCTCCTATTCTACTTAATATATATCCTTACAGGTTTTCTCATTCTCAGAAGCTCATATGATTACTCGCTTATAGTCGTATTTCGTATTTGAATTAGTTCCTATAGCGACTTATTCTTGTATATATCTTATCAATAGTTCACGTGATTTATACAAGATATCAGGGCAATTTGTATGTAGGTCCCCGCTATTACAACTTTCTCATATTATCTTTATAGATTACACATGGTATGTCATCAGTCTTTATACTATTTACTACTATTTTTATAAACGTGTAATTTCATTAATCAGTTTTTAAATTAAATTTGGCAAAAAGGTAGTAATAGTAGAAAATAAAATAAACAATGAAAAATTAGTTCATAAATAAGAATTTCATTCAATTTACTACTAATTAAAAATTTGTAAAAATTTATAAATTTAACTTATACCTTAATTCTTATCAAATGGGTTAGCTTATATGATATTAATTTCGATATAAATCAAGTTCGATTGCTTTTGAATAGATGATTGTGTGAAAAAAAAGTATAGTTCTTTTTAAAATTTGATGAATTGGTGAAAATTGAAATTATGTATAGATCTAAATTACAAATTATGTAACTTAATGTGAAAAGCTTTTTAAAATGAATGATAGCGATTTATTGATTTGAATAATTATTTGCGCTTACGAATTTTCATTTTTCACTGTATTTATCATGTGAACATGCTATTATTTTCAATTTAAATTTGTAAATAGAAAAATAAAAATATACATTTGACTATGAATCGTCAGCATAAATAAAAAAACAAAACTCGCATAATGTCACAAATGCGTCAAAAACATGCGTGCATCGTCGATCAAAAAATGACAGCTGGTTTACAAATTACAAAACTAAAATTTTTTATTTTCTTGTTGATCAAACTATCTCTAGCTATGTGTACATAAAATAGATGTTTTTAGTTGTTTTGCAATTTATGTAGTTACCTCGTCGATGTGAATTACATGGAAACGTCAATTTTATTGTTTTTTAGAATTGTTGTAATAATTTTGTAGTTGAGAGGCTAAGATCGAAATTGATGAGATTGTTATGACGACTTCCACGATGCAACCGTTAATGAAACGAACTCCATTCATATTCAGAAATTTCATTAAAACTGAATATAATTACAGGTAAATTTATCCACCAGATATATATTTGAATTTTGTATTTATTTATTAAATATATGTACTCTTTTCAATTCTGTCAGTACAAGTTCGTGCGGAGTATATGATCTAGTTGTGGTCGGAGGTGGTATAGTGGGATGTGCTACTGCTCGAGAAATAAAAACCAGACATTCTCAGTTACGGGTAGCTCTTGTGGAAAAAGAAAGTATTTTGGCAAAACATCAAACTGGTCATAATAGTGGAGTAATTCATGCTGGAATCTACTATAAACCTGGGAGTATGAAAGTAAAGTTTGCAAAATATCTATAAATAATCACTTATTTTCAAATTTTATCAATTATAATTTTTCACATTATTTAGGCAAAATTATGCGTTGAAGGTTTAAAATTATCATATGATTATCTATGTAAGAATGACATTCCTCACAAAAAAATTGGGAAACTTATAGTAGCATTGAACCAACCACAAGTTTCTCAATTGAATCTATTGTACAAAAGAGGATTGGAAAACAAATGCCCTGATATTGAACTTGTCGATAAAACTTGCCTATCCAATTATGAAGCCAAATTAAAGGTGATCATAGGATTAAAAGAAAAATATGATTACCATTAACTTACATAGAATATGAGTGTTAAATGAGAAGTTATGTATATTACAAATTATATATACTATGATTATTACTCTTATTAGGGTGAAAAAGCTATTTGGTCACCATGGACAGGAATAGTTGATTGGGCATTGGTTTGTGAACATTTTGCCAAAGACTTTAAAAAAATGGGAGGAGATATTTTTTTTAACTTTGAAGTTTCTGGATTTGCAGAAAATGTAGAATCTAAAGGCAAAAGTGAATTGACACCTATATGCTTATATTCAAACAATAAGGTATGATTATACAATTTTTACAATATTATTTAAAAAGCAATTTATAAAAACATTAATATTGAATAGTTGATAACTAAAATTTTCTTTTAGTATCTCAATGCTAAGTATGTTTTAACATGTGCTGGTTTACATTCAGACCGTTTAGCTGTTATGACTGGCTGTGGTTTGAGTCCACGTATTGTGCCTTTTCGTGGTGAATATCTTCTAATGAAAGATGAAAAGAAAAATATAGTATCTACAAATATATATCCAGTGCCCGACCCTAGATTTCCATTTTTGGGAGTACATTTTACACCAAGAGTAAACGGAGATATTTGGCTTGGTCCCAATGCAGTTTTGGCCTTTGCAAGAGAAGGATATAGTTGGACAGATATTAATGTCAGAGACTGCATTGAAATGATGAAGTTTCCAGGACTTTATAAACTTTGTTTTAGATATATAATTCCAGGTTGCAATGAAGCGATTAAATCTATTTTCCATCAATTATCTGTGAAAGAATTGACTAAATTTATCCCTGGAATAAAACCAGGTGATGTAAAAAGGTAATCTAAACTATTTAGTAAATTAAACGATAATTTGTGATAAATTCATATATAATGCATTATTAATTTAACCAATTTTTAGAGGTCCTGCTGGTGTTCGAGCCCAAGCACTTGATAATGATGGCAATCTGGTTGATGATTTTGTTTTTGACAATGGTATAGGTACATTAGGTCAGAGGGTACTACATTGCAGAAATGCTCCTTCTCCAGGAGCAACGAGTAGCATGGCTATTGCTAAATTTATTTCTGATAAATTGGATAAAGATTTCAAGTTTTAATATTACTTTTTACAAAGCAAAATTATAGGATGCATTTAAAAAATTGAGTTTTATTGAATAAATGCTTTTTTCTAGAAAAAAGAAGACTTTATTATAGCTTTGTGAAATCTGTATAAATTTTTGTAAGTGCTAACATCATAAAATTTTTATTTTGTAAGGTTTTTTACCAAATTTTAATGAATATATTTTTAGAATAAATAGATATGTACATTTTATAAATCTTGTTCCAAAGAAACCACATAATCAAATAATACGTAATCCATTTGTAGATATCAATAAACTTCTGCCAGCAAAATCATAAGCTGCTGTCACATGAAATGCCATGTTCGTAATGACTACAACATACTCAGCTAATGCGAACATTGAGTAAACTGTAAATAATAAAATAATTTACTTGATTGAACCATGTATATGAATATTAATTTTGAAAAATACTTCTCACCAAATGGTTCACAATATTTGTTGTGCCTGTAAAAGAAATAGCAAGCCAACATTGTAGCAGTGACATTTAGTACCATTGAATTGAACTTCCATTTGAGTGATATACTATTGTTTGTATCTTTAGCAACATTGCAACAATTCATGGCTATAATATAAGATAGAACCATGTGCATTAAAGACATTAGAAGGAACGTAATAAATGATATTTTATGAAAAACTGAAAGGAAATTTAAATATTGATTACAAATTGTTTTGATTGTATTAAATTATGTTTAGAACAATAATTTTTACCATAATTTTCATTGGAAGACCAAAAACTCAATGTTACTAAAGCTGTATTTTCTAAGAAGTAACTAAAAAGAGCAAAATTAGTTATTCCTCTTGCCCACTTATAGGCAGTGTCTTTGTAATATTCATAATACATAAATAATACTAAGAGTCTAATGATAGCTTGTACAGCAATGGTAAATTCCCAAATATGTTTTTGAGGCCTATAATGACCAATTGCAGCTGATACTGATGGTAAAAAGTTGTACACGTTGCAGTGTGTTTCTGTAGCTTGTTCAAAATTATACAGAATAGACCAAATTATGCAAAATGCAAAGCCACAAAATGGCAATGATACAGTAAACCATGCTATCCTAGAGAATGAAATTACTAGGCGCAACCTGCTGCCTTCTCCATCTACTAGAGGGATGTAATCAGACCCTAGTCTCTTCATATTTTTTTCAACTTTCCTAATGAATCAAGAAGAATGAAGAAGAGATAATTATAAATTTAAGAATGTTATTGAAATTACCTTTTCATACTTCATTTATTTCAAATAGAAACTTCTATGATGAAATGTTGAAAACAAAACTAACTCAAACTTACATTACAATCAAAACATTTAAAAAACTTGTTCTGATTGAACCAGAATAGAACATGCTCTCGTCGCATATCTAGGAAGCGACGTTTAAACTGATTACGTGTAGATGATATGTATCCAAACATGGCATATATTCAGCTGACTTAGCAAACCGGCCATTACGTCGGCAAGTACTGCATATACTGATTAAAAGTTTGTCTTCGTTGCATATCTTCTCAAGTAATATTTTTAATATGATTATATTAAGTGGTAGATTTTATAAAAATACTTACTGAGTTATTGGTCGTCTGTGTTTGAGTAAGTGGCCATTTGGATTGTGTATATGTGTGCATGATGATAGGATTGAACGTGCAGGATTGAGGATGTAGGTTAGTTGTATTTTGGATAGTTGCAGCATATACGTAGTAGTATAATAGGTATCTAGACTACCAAGTGCTGATAGTAATATAGTCAATTGTTAATTGTAGCGCAGACCGCACGACAGATGGCAGTCGTCACTCATAATTGATCCTATTAGTTTTTAACTTCCTGTTGCTAATTAAAATTTTTATTCTTTCCTATTATCTTTATTTTTTAATGTAGATGCAAGTACAAATATTTTAAGTAAGTTGTCTACCAAAGTTAAAAAAGTTGTCAACTAAAATACTATGTAGGCTGTTAAACCGTCAAGTTTATCTTAGTATTAAACTAAAACTAAATGTCATAGAGAGTTATGTTTTATAATTTTATATTGCATTAATTATAAAGATTACGCATATTTTTTTACCGTGAAAGATTTTATATGCTGTATTATTAGATATACAGACCTAGAAGTTTTACACTTTTATATGGTACCACTTATAGAAAAATCACTCGTATTTTAGTATCGTCAGAAGTTCTAAATAGTCACATTTTTATACTACATATCATTATATTACTATAAATTTATGGAACCAACTATGTATTTGAATACTGTAATTCACCGCGCCCACACCGGCGCCGTTGTGGTGGTGATGTGGCTATATAATGTACACAGTTTATGCCAATAAAAAAAATAATAATCCTATTAGTTTGTGTCAAACGAGCACCACTGCCAATTATTCAATTGAATTGATATTTTACAAGAAGTTAAAAATCACGATCAAACGTAAACAACGATTAAAATGTGCGATGTTTTGTTAATATTTTAAATAATTATGAGTGGTTTATTTATTTTGATAAAGTTCAAGGATCAACAGACAATAAGATCGGTTTCTTCGAAATATTCAATTTGTGAATAGATAAATTATAATGCTTACAAAGAGGTTATATTTTTATTGAAAAATTTATTCTAACCAACCATTTTCACCAAGATTTGTTTAACTACATTAGAACGCTTTATAAAAATGTAAGTAAAAGCAACTTTTTTCTTTTTTAAATGTGGTAAAGATTTACTAATAATAATCGTGATTACTTCTACCAAGATTTCCAAAGATTTCCATAATTACATGATTTCAGTCGCGTATAACTCCGACAGATAATGCGAGTAATAGAAAAAAAGACGTCAACCTCGAACTCGGTAACCAATTCCCTTTTTTTCAAAACCCAGAAAACCAAAAAACATTAACTAAAGAATCCGAAAAATTTAGGTGACTGTAAAAAATTTTAAGATAATCACCCATTAAGTAATGTTATTACGGGACTCTAATCACATAATTGCAGGAATCACATTGCGAATATCTCGTCAAATAAATATTAACTACTGTTATTGCATACTAATAAATAGTAAAATTACATTAAAAGTTCAGAAATAAGCTTCTACATTATTATTATTATTATTTTATTATTATTATACTATTTCAGATGAATATAATGAACTGTATAATCATTTTACTAAATTAACAATTTAAAAGATATTTAAAGATTATTTTGGTATTTGTTATAGATTTTACAGTAATTCAAAGAACTTTTTAAGTTCAAGTCTATCTACATTTAATTATCCTAAATTTTCATAACGTTGTTATAATTATTTAACAATATATTAAAAAATATATTTTAAAAAATTTCTTAAATTTATGGTTATAATTTAAAAGAAGTATATTTTTAAACATGTCCGTGTTACAAAAACAAAAATTGAGCTGAAGATTTTAAACATTTCTGCTTATTTTGTTTACTTTATTAATATTTTTCACCATTTTAATCAATAGAACAGAAAAAATTCACAAATTATAGTTGATGAATTAAATCATTTTAAATATCAACAAAAATCTATCATAGATGAAATTCTTACTCTACTAGTTTGATAAAGCTCTAGTTGTAAAAAATTGTTATCAAATGAAAGTTTCTTAGAAACTTAGTGTTATCATTTTCTGTAATAAGAATGCTTCCATAGCTCGAATTTTAAGCATTACATTTTCTACTTTCTCAAGGGGTTATTGGCATTTGAAAATTATTAGATTGTATGCGATCTTATCAATGTTATATTCAAATCTGTGTATACTTCCAACTAATTGTTTTCTTTAAATTAGCATTTAACACTATAATTATTTTGAGTTATATATTTCTAAATAGATATAGAAAAATTTTACACAGTTCACAAGCTATATTAAACCAATGTCAACTTAATTTTTTTTTAATTTATATATTTAGAAGTATAAATATCACACTAATTCTCAGACATGGACTCAATTTTAAATTACACAATCTTAAGATAACTTTCAAGAAAACAAAAAATTCTTGAAGCTTTGAAAGCTTTGTAAAAAATTTTTACAGTATAAAACTGTCAACATTCAAGTATTTGGCAACTGTACTCTACTGGATCTTGTTTCCACTGGTATCACATTAAGAAAAAAAGAAAAAAGACTACTATGAATTTGTTTGAGGAAAAAGCTTCATTAATGATACCAGCCAGCAAAAATGGAATAGTTTGATTCATCACTGAAAAGTAATACATTTTTACCTTAGAGGTATATGAAAGGGCTGTGTTATTAGCATATTGTACTATATAGGTATGTTATAACAGTAAGGGAGATACTAGACAAGGAGAAGGAGAGTTTGGAGCCTTGTGAGACTTCAACAGTAATAGGTTAAGGGTTAAACAAGTTCTTACTTGCGCAAACCCTGAATGTCTAATTTGAAAAATAAAACAATTGATTAGCCCTGTTAGTAATAAGGGTAACTGAGTTCGATTAATATAAAAATAAAGCCATCATGTTTTATCTTCAAAGTAATATGTCTGATACACCAGACTTAGTCGAATGTCTGTTTTACACCAAGGAGGAGGAGTATGGAAGTATGCTATCATTTGTTGTAATTGTTTGTGACAAATTTATGTCAGACATCTTTTCTTGGAGTGTTGATACTCAGGAAGTACATATTTTATCTTGAATACATTTTTTGAGACAGTTCAGTATAATGGATTCATTACTTTGCTGAGTAGAGAAAATTGATGAGTCTGTAGCAGGATGCTTGATTAAGGAGTTTATTGACTATAGGAAGGCAGGTAATAGTATCGTCCTTTCAAGCACTAGAAATATTATAGTTTTGTCATTTTTGAGAGATTTTATCACAGCAGCTACTTTCTTGGGGGAAGTTGGTTGAAATTTGAAGTTAAGCATCGTTTCAGTGACGTGATGGTAAATGTTAGCGAATTTTCTTGTGGGAAAGGGGGAATCTTTAAGAGACTCTGAGGAGATATTGGGGATGAGTGGAGTACTTTATTGCAGATTGACTTAGTTACTTCACAAATAATGTTATTGATGCGTTACATTTACCTACGGGTTTATTTCTTTTTACTGATAAGAACATAAACCACAGAAGACGTGTGTACTAAAGTTGATTCTATTTTCTCTTTAGTTTCTTAGGTGAGTGCAAGGATGACGTTGTGTATGTCGGTGATTGGCTACATTTGTAAACATTTGAAGGAAGAGTTTTCAAGCTGAGACCGTAGAGTTAGTCAGGCGATTTTTTATCTTTAATGATTCTCTAGGCCACCGTCGCCGGAGCTTTCAATAAGCACAAGTTTGTGATCGGAATCGAGGGCAGAGACTGATCAAGTTTCTTTATCGAGAGTGAGATTTTTACTGAATATATCTAGGGTGATAGGGCTGGGCTTTTAATGGCGTCCTGTGGAGAAGTAGGTGTATTCAAAGGAGACCTGAACTGAGTGGTTGTGATAGTACATGAAGTTGAGTAATTTTGAACCCTTTGAGTATGTTGCACGACACCGCCAGGAACAGTACTTAACATTGAAATTGCATCCAAGAACTTTTGGGACATCAAAGTATAGAACAGGGACAGTATCTAAAAGATTTGTGTTTTCAGCTACTGAAATCAGTCGATTGGTTCATTCATGCATAAGTAGATGGCTCGTACAAAAATAGTACATTGACTTGTATACCTGTTAATAACTCGAATGATTCCATATAAATATATAAAATTAGACAGTAAAAAATTCCATATTAATATATAACAATAAAGTATTTTTAACTGATAGGAAAGATATATAAATACATATAAATTTCGTATAAAATTTGTATAAAATGTGTTCCAAATATTGCACGCGCGCATGCACGCACGCACACAATTTAATAACTGTACCAATGGGCAATTAATGTATGATTGTAAGTTATACAGTTGGTCCCTGAGATTACGAGTTATTGGTTTACTATATTTCAACGTGATTTAAAAATAGCATCAGTATGTTAAAATTTGTAAGATTAATAAATACATTGAGACTTTGATAAGATAGCAAGTAATGAACTGCTGCTATCACATATACGTTACAGTACGTATGACTCAGCTACAACTATTATTTCATTCATTGAAAGTTCAATTTGTTTGTTTTTGTCATTTAGAAAAGTTTCTGAAAGAGTTATCATTTGCATCTACTTTTTTTCTAGCCTAAGAAGAATAACAATCTTCTCTAGTAACCATCAGAGTCGGGTTGTAGATTGCGACAAATGCACTTTTTGAAAAAAAGAAAGCCCTTGATATGTACCAAGGGGAGTCCTGCGCGCTTTAACCACTGGGTCACCGCGGCTCTTATAAGCTTTAATAGCATTTCTTTAAAATTATTCAAACTAATCACACTAAAAAATCTTATTTTACAAAAATAAGTTTATCAACGGTTTGTACAGAAAGATTTCTTTCATATTTTTTTCGAAAATAGAAGTAGAATAGTACAGTTTGTTTCTAATGTTGACATGATTGATTTAAATAAATTTTATACATGTGACAGGCTCGATAAGTAAGTTTATTGAAGCTGTCACACACTGACCAGCTTTCACCATTTTTCATTTGTACTAACTGCCCAGTAAACTTTGTTATAGGACTTTGTACAATTTTTGTCAATGGGTTCCGAGAACAGTGGTAGCATTTGCAACAAATACAACTCTGCCCGCGAAAAAATAACTCGATAAGCTCTTATCGATTGACCAGTATTGACCAGTGTTTGTTGAGATTTATCTTAAAAGACGAAGCTCTCTTGTGGCGTGAAGCCATTGAGCTGCCTTTGGCTTCGAGAATAACTCGATGCGCATCTCAAATTTTGTTGCGCGTGCAACTATCTATAATATTGAATTAGCTATACTTCTGTTTCTCGATGCTACTTCAGCTTTGCACAGCTCTCGACTGATTTTACAATACAATGCATTATGCCAATAAAGTTGTCTTTAAGACTTGGTGCAGAATATAGATACTTTTTACTATTTTATAACAGTACAAATATATTTGAAATACGTAATGTGTAATTTGTGGAATGCGGAAAATTTTAAACATAAAAGTTTATATTTTGTCTTTTTTATTGTTTAAGCTTTTATAGGAAACTAAGCATCAAGTATTTCTATTCGTTTAACAAAGTCGACTGTGAAAGCTAAGTTAGGTCCTTTATAAAAAAATAAGAGAAAAGTAGGCGAAATCATTCAATAAATGTTCTTTTATAAGTGTACTAGCGCCTCGGCAACAGTTGAATTGTTTGTGATATTGGTAATTGTACTGATAATTTTGTTTGAGACAAAAAAAATTCTTTGTTTTCAAATAAATAGTTAGTAAGATGAGCCTTATATCAACGTTGTTTTAATAAAGCATTTGTAACGATGACCTATTTACAGTTGTGAATCTATTTAGTATGTTGAGCTCATTTAATGGTCAGCTGCATTTTAACAAACCTACTTGCAGTCCCAATTAAACAATTACAAATCAGCATCATAGACAAATTCCACACATTGTTGGCATTTTCTCAAAGGCGACCTATGATCTGAATGTTTAGTTTAAAAATAATTTGGCAAATACAAAGGAGTGAGAGAGGTTCTGTTTATATAGACGTGAATGTTTTTGTCTCTTTGGATCTTTCATTGGCCAGTGCATTGAGTCAAGGTAATGAGCGCAGTGCTTGGCAATACTATGCCAAGAGAATCACGACCCGGTCATTCTCCCGAACATTAAAATTATTTTCATTTTGATACTTTTGACCAATGACACGGGTAAGTTATTTTTCGTCAAACCATAAAATATTTCAGTATTAGTAATCGCGGAGCACTCAGGCAGTGTCTTTATTTATGGAGTCATCATAATCAGCAAAACATTATTCAGCGTGACCTTCAGCAAATAAGCACAAAAAAAAGAGAACGTTTCCGTTTGCTTTTGAAGCTATTATCATTGTCGCAAGCAACGGCTGTGATCTGACATGTTCGTGCATCGTCAGCGTTCAAACGGTCTGTCAAGGTGCCTGGAGCGACGGGCGCCACAGACGAAGAACTTAAAATCGGATCTCCCACGGAGAACGCGCTGGGCAGAAAGCGCGAACTCGGACGGAAGCAGGAAGCGAAGGGCAGAGGCGCTCGGGGCTGGGCGCGTGGGCGCGCGGCAGGTGCAGAAGAAGAGCGGCGCCGCCAAGGATGGACGGCGGGGGCGCCGGCCGGAGCCGGGGCCGGGGCCGAGCGCGACCGAGCCAGCGACGCCAGTCGGCCGGCGGCGCCCGCTCGCGCTCGCACCGCGTCACGGTGTGGCCCGCAGCCCCCGGCCCCGGCCCCGGCCCCCGAGTCTGTAGCTCGCTGGCCTGCGCTCTTCTCTGCCAGGTAAGCGCGGTCGCGGCCGCCACAGCTCGCCGACCTCGGACGGCGTGCAGGCGCTCGCGCGCCTCTAAAAATACACCCTAATAACTGGCGTGCGAGGCGAGCAAGGCGACGGCGACGCGAGCGGACGAGCCAGTCCGCCGGAGCCCGCGATTTTGGCGAACGACTGTTGTGTGGCAGGTGCGGCGGCAGCGGAGATGCTGCACGAGCAGCCGCGGCTGCTCGCCCAGAAGAGGTGGCGCCTGCTCGCGCGGGCGCTGACGGGCTCGCCGGAGCCGGGCCCGGGGCGCATCTCCACGCGGCGCTTCGGCTCGTTCGGCCTGCTGCGCGCCGACCACCTGCCGGACTACCGCTTCGGCCAGGAGGCGCACTGCAGCTGGTGGCTCTACAGCTGCCTCATCGGCGGCCGGCTCTACCAGCTGCTCGTGCGTCGGGTCAGCAACTGCTTCACCGCCGACCAGCTGATCGGCTTCAACAACACCGGCAACGTCTGTGTCTGGCCGTCCGAGGAGTGCCTGGCCTATTACGTTCTCAAAGTCGGGTCGCGCGCCTGCTCGTCGCCAGTCCTCGGCCGTGCGCGCAGCCCTCGCGCCTCGCTCGCTCGCGCCCTCGTTCCCTCGTTCCGTCCTTTCGCCCTTGCACTCGAGCCCGCCGGGTCTCCGTTCTGCGCGGAGCTCCGCTCGGCAGATCCGGCCGACAGGGCAACTTCCGGTGTCGATGTTTCTACGCTTCTACCGTGGTGGTCCGTCGCTCGGCGTCCGCCACTTCCAGCAGATTTTCGATCGGCGACTCGTCGATTCCCTCGGCTCCACTTTGTTCGCTATCTCTCGAGTGACGCGATCTAAAGCAAACGAAAGCAAACGAAATTCCACTTGAGTGCATTCTTTTAAATTTACATCAAAAGGCACGCTCTACTTACATAATAAGATCAGCGTACACTAACTCGACCTTCTATACGCGCATAGCTTCTCTAATCTATTTAACCGACATCGGTAATCCAACGAGAAAACAAAAGAGCGTGCATCCAATTACAGGGTTCTCGTAGGGCTCGCGGTTGCTAATAATCGGCACGTGAACAGCTAATAATCGGATCATACCGGCTGGCAATCACGTGATTTCGCGTTTAAACAACTCGATGCCAATACATTTTATTCAAGTGCCTTTGAAGCTGCAGATTTTTTATATCTGACTGCCATTGCTTTGGAGAGCCGCGGTGGCTCAGTGGATTAAGGCTTTTGGTTATCCAAGTCGTTCGGGCTCGGCACGTCCATTAACCGTAGGCCCCACAATCCCGATTATTGCAGTTGTCTCCGCGCCCCTGCACGTAAACCTCGCATTGTTCCGCTCTAACAAAGTCGCGTCAAAGTGCACCGACAAAACATTAAAGACCCTCTTCACTTTTTTTTCATTTTACCTAGTGACGAAGGTGTGACGCGCAATTCTAAGCGTGGGTGTAATTCTAGCGAAGGCCGCATTGTAGAGAGCCGTTGCAATGTGGAAAAACGCGCCGTAGAAAGATTGCTTCCAAGGGTCGTCGCCGAAAGCCAACAGCCGCACTAGGCTCGTTTGGCCGTGGAGGTAGTGGCGAGGCACGCGCACGGGCGCGGGCGAAGAGCGAGAGCAGCGAGGCGCCGAAGGCGCGAGCGCGGCACAGGTCTGGCACCAACTACTGATCGGTAACGTGTCGGCAGAATGGCGAGATCTGCCGCGGGCGCCGGGTGCTGGAGCTCGGCGGAGGCATGAGCTGCCTAGCGGGCGCGCTGGTGGCCAAGTATTGTCAGGCGAGCTCGGTGACGCTGACGGACGGCAACGCAAGGAGCGTGGACAACGTCGCCCGAATCGTGGAGAGCAACGGTCTGGAGGGCCTGGCGCGCTGCCTCGTGGTACAGTGGGCCAGCGCCGCTGAGGCGCTGGGCCGATCGCCGAGCCGCCGGCCCCAGGTCTGTACGTCGTGCGAAGGGGGCAGCTACGGCTCCTTGTCCAGTCGCCGCGGCTAGCCGACGTCCTGGCGAGGCAGCAATCACTATCGATACGCCGGTCGTGTGTCCGCAGGAGCTCGCCTCCGGCAGCGGCTCTGGCAGCGACGTCCGTAGCGGGGACGAGCGTCCGTACGACCTCATTCTCTGCGCCGACTGCTTGTTCTTCGACGAGGATTGGCTCGACCTCGTGGACACGATCTATGCCTGGCTGGCCGACGACGGCCTCGCCCTGGTCATGGCCCCGAGACGAGGCGCGACCTTTCGCCGCTTCGCCGAGGCAGCCGCGTGTCGTGGTCTCCTGCTCCGTCGCCAGCGCGAGTGTTACGACCCCGAGATCTGGGCCCGGCATCTGCAACTGCTCGCCTCCGACCCTCTATACTGTCCCGATATTCATTTACCCGTGCTGCTCGAGTTGACCAAGCCTGGCCGTGGTCCGCGGCTCGGCTGAACCACGGGCTACCAGCACCGGGGCCCCGCGTTCCTGCAGCCCTCCGTCCGCATCGTCATTCTCTCAGCGATTCCGAGTCCATTCTAATTTTATTTTGCGACCCTTCATGCACTAGCACTCGAATAACCTCGCTCATCGAAGTTGGAATTTCCAAAGGGCTTGGCAATCTTATTCTTCTTAGATTCGTAAAATATTAATGACGTTTAATATAATACTTGGACAAAAAGTGAATGACAAAAATATAATATTTAGTTTATGGAAGGCCTCAAATGCATATCTTTTTACATAACATATACAAGTTTGTATTAAAAAATTTGTTCCCATCTTAGTTTAACGTGCATATTTTTACAGCACGGTATACAGTTAATTAATAGCAATTATAAATTCTCTAAAACAATACATCTGTGCTATGCTAAATATATAAGTATAAAATTTTTGCTTGAGCGATTGTCACATTCTTTAGTCACAGAATTCCTCTCATCCCTCTTTTCTTTTTTCTCTTTTTTCTTGATTATTCTTTCTCAGTTCACGTTGAATATTTTTTTAAACAATCAGTGGCTAATAGCTGAACGTCTGATTTTCTGTACACAATAGTCTAAAAATTATTTTAAAAAATCTAGAAATAAAAGTGAAATCAAGAACAAGTAGAGTCTTTTTGCTCTAAACTTTCAATATAAAACAAGGTATATATTAATTTTTGTTTTTCGTATAAATATTCTCAACTTTAAATATATTTTGCCTTGCCTCCTTATTTTTATTGAAAGGACGTCTACGCACATGATATTTTCACCCGATCAAAGGTTTGTACTACACTTTGTATTCTTATCTTTGAATTTTGCAGAGGTTAATGTTTTGTGTAGGAATTTTAATTTTATTAATACTAAAGCAATACCTAAGTTTTTGTATAGCACTGAAAATCGATACGAAAGAAAACTGTGATTAAAATTTAGAACGACCTCAAATAATTACATAGATATTGATCAGCACATTTCGACTTAATGAATTTTTTGGGATTGAAAAAATTAGAGTTAGACCTTAACAAAATAGTTTACTATTATTTTATTGTTTTTATTTGCCTCTATTTTTATTTGTTTGAGAAAAAAAGTATTTTTGTCAAAATCATTTATACTTTTCTCTTTCGTAAATAGTCTGTACAGAAAATCTACCACCACTGGCGAAACATTGTAACATAAATTAACTATTATTTTTATTTATCTGAGTTATCAGTGGAGCACTATGATATTCAACTACATATGAGTAAATAAATTGTTTTACAGCCAACAAAATTTTCCCTGCGTTAAAAAACAAATTCCTGATGAAGTTAAGCTCTTTTAACATGGCCTTGTAATTAATGACCTATAAATACTCTTTGAATATGTTAAGAGTTTGATAGGTACTTAAAGTTTCATTATCTTTTTCAATCAAAACAGCATTTTTGATTTATAAAAAGCTCTAATGGCACTTGTAGTTTTATCGGAATAAATGGAATACTTTAATTGTAAAATTCTTAGTCATAATTTGCCCTAGTCCCGTTATCCTGCAAAGGCTTAGAAAAATAATATGTTTTTCAAATAAGTAAATAAGAGCAATTGAAAAATTAAAAAATGGTAACATGAAAAACATCCTTACTATGGTTATTTTTTATGCCATGAGTTACTTTTGCTTAGCGAAAACAACTATACTCTTCTTTTTATGCTACACAGTAAAAGACTGAATTATTAGAAGGTATATGAGAAATTCTACAAAAAATGCAATAATTTAAGAAGATTTTGTTGAACTGTTATGCTGTGAGCACGCTCATTGTCATGCGATTTTGTCAACACATGTTATAAACATAAAACTTCAAACACTTTGACGTTAGAATATTTGGAAAAACTCATCTGAATGATATTTTTGGCCCATAAGATTCGGGCATAAAGAGCGTATTTATCTCCTGCCAGTAATTCCAAAAGTCGTAGCCTTTTTTTATTTGATATATATAATTATGTTCTCAAAGTACACTCTTTTTAGTGTTTTATAATTATAGTTTTACAATTAAGTACAATTATAAAGCGGCCCTTTACGGAAATTTCTTATAGATTGTTTCAATGTACGCAATCTAATTTACACTGTTATTTTCAACGAAAAGCAATTATCGTTGCTTACTTGCAACTCATTACATTTTATCGATCATTAAAACACAATGATTCGTGTATAGAATTAAACGTTCTGCGTTTAATTAAGAGATCCAATGACATTAAATTTAACAAAGAGTAGTAATAATTAAAAAATATGTTGCAGTACACAAATAACAAAATGAGTTATTTTCTAACATTAAATCAATTGGAATTGAAATGTTAAAGTATTTGTTATTTTCAGGGCTGACTTTTGGAAATCTCAGACCCGCAAATATTGTGATTTCTGTAAATGTTGGATTTCGGATAACAAAGCTAGCGTTGACTTCCACGAAGGGGGAAAAAAGCATAAAGAAAATGTCAGCAAGAGACTCAAAGAAATACATAAAAATAGTGCAAAGCAAGCCAAACAGCAGAGAAAATTTGAAAATGACTTGGAAAAGATGGAAAAGGTATTCAGAATATTCAAGAATTTTTGCTATCTAATTACACTTGTCACAGTTTATTACTTTACCTTGTTTTGTGACAATATCTCTCGCAATTGTTTTTGTAAACATTTTATTAATTATCAATTTCTGCTGAATTAGAGTACATTTTTTGCAGGCAGCAATGGAAGCTTATATGAAGGATGTCGCGAACGGCAACCGTGATATGATTGCCGATAGCATCATTCAGCAAAAGTGGAGCAAAGTAAGTGCCTTCCATTAATCGACTGTGTTGTAAGATCTTTTCATTTCTCTCCTGTATGCCCGATTTGTATTTTCTTTCTAGATATTTTACTGTTTTACAGTTCACGTTGTATTTTTAACTTTTTTTATCGTTACATAAAAGGAGCAAGCAGCACCGGAACCAGCTAATCCAAATCAAATTCCAGAGGCATCACCCAACGCTCATCCAAGGTGTACTGAAACGGTTTCTTATAAAAGTGTAAGTAATAATATACTCTTAATATTAATTATTTGCTGTTTAACTTTGTTCATGTCAATACTCATTAAATTTACATTTCTACAATAATTACAAGAAAAATGCAACATCACCGATAGAGTTCGTTATTTTACAAGCTGCACTTCCTTACGAATAACATTTATTTTTTCAAAGATAAATAATAGTATCTTATCAAAGTTTCTTCTTCATAAACTGTTTCCACAAAAGTTTTAAATAGGTAACGATTCTATATGAATGAAGAAATCATTCATTAAACTGTTATTTTGTTTTTGAATTTCAGAAGAAAAACAATAGCTATTACGTGGTGATTTTATTAAATTTACGATGTTCGTTTATATTAAAAAATAGTTTTCATAGTTTAAGCAAAATTAGAATACAGCTTCTTTAGCCCTATTAAGAAAACCATTATTTTTTCATTAATCCTTATAAAATACTAGTTTTATCGAAAGCGCTTCGGGCGCTTATTTCTTGTTTATATATCATTATATGCAGTTTGATGCTTGAATCAAATAAGAACTATTGTAAGGGAAACTAAAAATTCTCAAAAATGCTGAACATATCTAATAATAAAATAATGTGATTGAAAATTCTCTACATCCTTCGATATTAGTTAGTGAATGATTATTTAATTACGTTGATACTCAAATTTAATACCGCAGCAATTTATGTAGTGTTTAGAGACAGATAACGGGCAGCATATCGTGTTGATTTTCACTTTTTTTTAAGTAAATCGAACCGTCGGCTGTTCCTAGCAATTTAATTTTGTTTTTTGACATATTTGTCTATGATCTCAAACTTTTTGTAGAATAACTCTATATTAATATTATATCTATTATTTTTAAAATAATAACGTATTCGGCACCTTTATTTGATAATTTTTGAGTTTTATTTTCATTAATAAATTTTAAAGCAATAAGTTTTTTGAATAAATTATTGCGTTGAATGAGCCAAATTACTTATATTATTTTGAGGATTTTTAAGGATTACTTTATAATATTTTAGATTAGGCGGTTGAATGAAGTGGGTTTCATTCTCTCTTTAAAGTCTATGAATTGTGTTTCTTATTTTTTATTCAATTACTTTATCAATAATATATTGATGCCTAAGGCTATTTAAACACCGATCAATTAAACATGTGAGCTTTTGTGCTAAATTATTATACTATGTGCCTAATTCACTTTTATATATATACATAAATATACAATCAGATTACGAATAAACTTGCATCACTGGGCAGGCCATCACTTTTTTATATAGGGACAAAAATGCAACAAATTTAATCTTCGAACTTTCAGTTTACAACAAAACGGACGCACCAAAATATTTTGAAAGATTTTTTATATAACTTAAATATTATATAGCACTATATATTGTTCTTTTAATTATCTGTCAGTATATCCGCACTTCAAAATATGGCCGACAGTCACGTTCCGGTGATCAATAAACTTGAGAAGCTCTTATTGTACTGTAAGTGGATGAGTGAATGCTTTTATAATGCAGCTTTCCTGATTAGTTAACTTTTCTATATTTTGTGGCTGATTAAATAGGTTATTGTTATTTTACTGATGATATAAAAATTGCTAAAAAAGTAACAAAAATTATAATTTTTATAAATATAAACCTTTCAATTAGAAAATTAGTACAAGTAAATAAACATAGAAAATCATATTTGTAAAAAAGTGGTAAAAGTGTTGAAATATTTCAAAGAGTACGAAAGAACGGCCGAGTTTGTTTCGTACAGTTACTGATTTTATACAATTGATATCGTATGATTTTTTAAATTTTGTTTATTGAACATAATACTTCTTTGATTGAAAAGATAAAAGAGTATTTATTATAATAGAAAATACTGTTGAACATGTACATTTTTACAGAAAATTCGATTGGATAATAATGGGTCCAAAGTATTCAACATGAAGTTATTTTGCAGGAATAAATAAATATTATTAAGAATATATATATTTAAGATTCTGTCAGTTATTAAAAAATAATCAAATATACGTCATATAGAATATTTTGTGCCCATTGATTGTTTATTAATTTTTCTGCAGAAAAATATAATGAAATAATATTTCATTTTTCAACCAAATAGTATTCTATTTTTTACGTTCAATAGAAAAGTTATATATTAAATAAATTAAATTTTTTTTAATTTCTCGCACAATTGAGTAAGAATTCGTTTGATAGTATTAATAAAGAGTTAATAGAGTTTATAATACTCCTTTATTTATTAAAACTAACATATTCCTTAGTGACATTAATAAGATACAATAAAATTTATAATTATGTTCAAAATCATAATGTTACTAGGTGGCTTGAAAATAACATTTCTCAATACAAATTCAATAAAAAGAAATAACCATGTCCCTTAGTCGTTTCAGCAAAGAAAAATTCTATATTTCTTAATATAAATATATTACTTGACATTAATAAAACTTATTGATTCCTTCGATTTGCATAATGAATAGAAATCAGATTAAGTCCCACTATCTCTGAATCAGAGTAAAAAATTAATGTAAGGGACTTAGAAGAAATTGCTCAATTTTAATATGAAATGAGATGGAAAGTTAGACTCAGCCCTGGTTTCTTATGGTATGGTGTCCCATGAGCAGAGCATAAATTTTGTATCAAAGAACGAAATGGATGATTCAGCCCAAGTTTCCCATAGTGCGATGTGTCCTATGAGTCGAACGTAAATTATAAGAGGATAGGAAATATTACAAGACGAATCACTGAAGAGAGCATACTCAGGTTTACCGTCAAGTTTATTCAATATTAAAGCACCCGTTTTGCAAGACTCGCAAGGAAAAGGTCCAGGCTGTACAAAATTGAGCCTATTTATACATAGATTTCAGGCCCCGTTTACGCCGGATAGCCCTGTTAACGCTATTTTCGCAAGTGTGCAAAAACATTTTTGATCTTTAGCAACGAAATTAATAACGCTAGATAAAAAGTAAACAATGTAAAAAACACAGCATCTAATATGATTAATTAATGTATAATTCGCACGTTTCGCAAAAATCGCAGTTCAAAGTTATAAACAAACAAAGTTTGTAAATTCAATGGTGTAAAACTTATAATAAATTAATGTAATTTTTTTACATAGAAAAATAGCTTATCGTTTGTAGAAGTTATTACCAAAAAGAAAATCTCAAATTGTTTAATAACATTTAAATAATAAATTATTTTCACATTTTGCCGAATTTTATAATGCAAATATAAAATCGGCTTATTAATATTCCATTCTTACATCAATTTTATGAGTACACACAGAATCCACGCGTTCGATTTGTACTATTTTGATTGTTTATAAAAGTTATTTATTTTTTATTTTTTGATAACATTTGTAAAAAATTTGTTATCAATAGAACAAATTCTTACTCATGTTCATTTTATCGTAATCTCGACTATGATGTATTCGCTTTCATATAATAATTATTATTCGCAAAATTATAAATAAATAAAGTTTGTATATTCAAATTCGATAATATTTAAGTGCAAAAGACGTTTGAAAAGATGATATTTGGAGTCCACGCATTAAAATTAACATAAAAATTTTTGTTGATCGAAAATCGCTTTTGTTAATATATTTTAATTAAATAATGTATATCAATGTACCTATAGCTATAGGTGGAGTGACGCCATACTCCTTATATGGAAATGAATTTTGACTATCATTTTAACACAATCATATAATAAGTGAGGTGGCGCCATTATCTATGCTAATTAATAGACATGGATTCGCGGGTTGGGGTTTGGAGGGATGCCGTAGTTCGGAAGTTGGCGGAAAAATTCTCATAGGTAGGACCGCTACATCATATTCAATTAAATAGCATCGGTATCTGTACGAAACGAACTCTGCTGATATAGCGGAAGAGATATAAATGTGAATTTAAAGAATTTACAATGAGATTACGGTTTCACTAAAATTATTATTACTTGTTTTATTTATTTCAGTATGGACCAGCTGATATTGATCCACTAGATCCATTTGCTAAACAAAAATTGGCTCGACTAGAAGCAAAAGAAAAAATTAAAACTAAAACAGAAGCGAGAAAAGAAAAAAAGAAAAAGAAAAAGGAAAGTGCTAATTTACAAGAAAAAGCAGGTGGGAGTCAATTATTACAAAGAAAAGTTTGGTATGAAGCTCAGTCTCAGGGATATAGTTATTATTGGAACATCGAGACTAATGGTAAATATGACAAAAATTAATTATCAACCATAAGTGGGCCCTCCATGAGCTTTGTTGATGAATCGATATTGGCAATAACACATATGAGGGCCGTTCAATAAATCCGTGACTTTGAAATGAAAAACACCATTTACTTAAATAACTCCAATTTATTTTCCAACATCGTCTTTATTTAATTCTATATTTTTGTTATAGCGGTGCTTTTTTTATCCTTTCTAAAGTAATTTTTATCAATCTCCTTAAAATGCTCATTTGTCGCAGCATTACTTCTTCGCTCGATGAAAATCTTTTAACTGCACGCTAAAATTTTATTTTAGAAAACAAAAAATAATCTAAAGTAGAAAAATTTTGAGAATAAGGTAGATGAGAAAGTATTTCGTAGAATAAATCAAATTTAGTTTCCATCACATAATGGAAAACTAAATTAAAATAACTAAAACATTTCCAAATCAACATGAAACTTAGTATATGCATTTATACTTGATGAGACTAATACGTTATGATAACAGTACTGTCTTCTGAGAAGTCATAGACTTATTCCATCAATTCCCACGTACTTTTTTTAGATAAGAAAACACAAATCTAGCATATATTCTTTTATAGACGTTAAAAACATGGTTTAATTCATGAAAATTCACAATCCGTTATTTCCGAAGTCAGCGTGCATAATCACTATGATGTTCTTATGTTTTTAAGATATTCTAAAATTCTGAATAAAAATTTGTTTCACTGAAATGAGAAACGTAGGATATATCAGCCGTTTTCAAAGAAGAAAGTAACGTACAGGAGAGTGTCCTTCAAATTCTTAATCAAATTTGCTTTGAATATTTATTAGCATATTTGCCAAACGTTTTTAAAAGTAATAATATAGTTTTTGGTTGAGCCGAAATATTCAAATGTTTATTCGTTATCTGCGTTCCGTAATTATTATTTGAAAAGTTGTACGACTATTAAGATACAAAAGCGGTTAGCTTTTAGTTTGTAAAGAAAAAAGAGATTTTTTGTGATGAATGATGACTCCCGATTCATGATTCTCGTTGAGGAAAGTAGGATGTTCAAAATTGAACTTTCCACCTATTGTAATAGAAAAGTATGATTGAATACTGGTTGCGAGTAGGTGATTGTACCCTTGCATGACTTTTCACTGGATCGAAGTGAACTACACGAGGTTATAACCACTCCCTCGCACATATTTATAAAAATACTGATGTCGATTATAGTAAGCGCTACTCGTGCTTTATCCTGGCGGGGGCTTTTGTCTAGACAACCAGGAAATACGGTAGATTAATGATTTCAATTATTTCAATATTGAACAATGCGTTGACTCACTCATTATTAATATTACTTATTATCGTATAGGGTATTTTAATAAGAAATTATTTATTTCTGCAAAAGTTTGTTATATTCAAACATCTTGCTCATTGTTACGTATACATATTTCAATTTTATTATAAGATTTATCTTTACATCAAACTTTGTCTGTGGTAAACTTCTGCAAAAATGAGTCCCCGAGATGGCTCTCAAGCTCTAGAGATATTTGAACCGATCTACATGTATGTAACTTTCTCAATTGTTCGTTCGTTTAAACTATGCATTTTTTTGTTTCCAAGTTATCCGACCGTTCTTCGAGCTTTTCGAGCTTCTGCACAAGTCTAAATAAAACAATATATTTTCTTCTATTGAATGGTGACAGTTAAATAAAATACAATATTTTTTTAAATGTTTCCTCATTAAAATTTTTGACAAAGCTTGTGAATGGACTGAAGTATTTCTAATGTTTCGTGAATTTCTCATAGCAGAGTTCATTCCTGCAGTAAAAACAATAATCATACGTTCATAATTTCCACAAGATTCGGCATTATTATTGATAAAAATGATATCCAATAGTAATAATAATTTTTTAATGCTTGTATGAATAAAAGCGATGGTTAAATGCAGGAGAACAGATAGGGTATATAAATTGGGCATTTTTATTAAATAGCATAATACAAGGAAAAATCCTTTTAATTTTTTCAAATTGAGAATATTATTTTACGTTGTAGAAACAATGTGGGAACCACCAGCAGACGGTTTTATGTCCTTGGCTGAACAAGCTGAAGAGGCTAAAGAGCAAGCGCTTCAAGAGGAATTGTTTGAACAAATAGATAAAGAAGATGAACAAGAAAAAGCCATTGTACTGGAAGAACAAAGAGCCAACGCTGAAAGAGAAAAGCTTAAAGAAATTCGAAAACGATTTCATGAAAGCAAAAATCCAGATACTGAAAACGACGATAAATCGGACCAGGAAACAGTGTCTTACAGACGAGATTACAGTGTGCCAGAAAAACCCCAACCTTATGGTAGTTGGCAAGTTGTGTAAGTTGTAAATTTTATTATATATTTTTAATGCAATTTTTACGTTTTTATTACGTAATTTTATAATTGTTTGTACATTGTAGTAATAAACCTAGGATAGATTTTCAATTACCAGAGAAAGAAAAGGTTCCAGTTGCTACTTCAGTTCTACGTACCGAAGAACCTCTGCCTAGGAAGGTCTTTAAAGAAAAAACTATCACCAGTATTTCTACTGGAGATAGCGACGACGAAGCTTTTGCAATTTCATTTAGAAAGAGAAAATTTAGTAGTAAGAACGTACGAAAACGCATGGACAATGATTAATACTATATTCTGGTATGAATAAGTTTATAGGAGAGACCAGAATGATTCTAATCTGTAATAGAGTAATAATATGTACATTGTGTAAGCCAGATATCGATAGAAAAACGAAATTGAATGCATGTAAAGAACTACGTTTTTAAAAATGTATTATTCATATTGTATTAATAGTTACAATTTGTAAATATATATTATCGTTTTTGCAAGACAAAGAAGTTAATTTGTAACTTTGTAGTAGACATGAGTTTAGTTGCTCACAATAATGAAAAATACGTCACGAACTATTCAAAGCAATTTAGTTTTTTGACACTCCGTGTGTAAAGTACGTCTTTCCCGTACGCTCGGCAAAAAACGATGTTGAAAATTGCATTTTCCATAGTCGTATCAAAAATACGGTACAACACATCTTTAGGAAAGAGATTCTTTTTTTCGTATACTATTTCAGTTTCCACCCTCGCTTCGTTCATGTGTAAACGACACACAAGACAAGAATCTACTTTCTCGCATTTGTATTGTATTGTACTATTAACTAATCCCAAGCAGAATAGGGAAAACGGGAGAAAAAAACCTGACATATACTCTAACTTTCACTTATAAAACAAATGCAACTAAGGAGATTCCTGAGTGGATTCGTTCCATTTAAAGTGAATAACTAATTTTATACGACGTGCAGTTGTTTTTTTGAAAAAAATAAAAAATCCTAATTTTTTTCCACTTGTGACTTTTGTTTACGTCGTTTGAAATAGAATATAATTGTATACAATCATAAATGATAAATGGAAAATAAGGTACTTATACGCAAAGTTATTATTATTTATTAACGTTGATTTTTTCAAACAAGCTTTTTTCGTAGTGTAAGCAATTTTAGAGAAAAGTCGCGTCAAATACCCTCGTTCGTATACGCTAGCGTAAGATTTTTTCTAATAAATAAACAAATGATTGGTTTGCTGGCTAGCCATAAGATAGAGGATAAAGTCCGGTAGCGTGCAGTAGATGAAGAAAAAATTAGTGAACGCGAAACAGAGCTGGGCAGATCTCCGAGTTGCCTAAGCAGACAACCGTGTAGTAGAACAGATTGGCGAGTGTCAAATGCCGACGGTGATGGTCGGATTCTAGCGAGGATGCCGGCCAGCTGTAGTTACAGTCTGACCAAGCGTATGTTATTGTACCTATATAAGCGTTCGATTACCTCCCCTCCTCCCCCTCCAATCCGCTAAGTGCAGCAGAGACTTGAATCAAGTGTAGAGAGATTAGCGAATGACCGTGAGCAGACGCTGCATTACCAAAAGTTGTCGTTACTGCCAAATTCATTCTTCGAACCGCACATTTTAGACATTCGATGCTTTTCATTCCTAGTAGGTTATCCAAGCTTATCTTGCAAGCTAGGAATAAATCTTCCTTCGTTGTGATTCCCATAACAACTGAGCTTTCTAATAGCTTTATCTAAAAGAATTAATAGAAAATAATTTGTTTAAGGAAATTAAATCTTATCGATTATTATGTGAATTCGATATATGTAATATAAAGAATCTTAATCGTTGCTATATTGATATAAAAACTAACAAATTTATGGAAAATAATCAATGAAACGATGCAATTGTTTGCGAGTAGTTTATATATAATGAGAATTTCAACTTCTATTAAATTATGTCGATGAAACAATTACTCAATCTTGCAAGTTATTAACTGTTATCAAAACTCTTAGATACATTTCTATTGCTAGTAAGAGTACTTTTGCCAAAGTTTCTTTATTATGGGTCTCCTAACAAGCTGATGATACCCAAGCTTTTGCAAGAGTTTAGTTTGGCTAAAAGTTCACCAGCCGTTTTTAACCTTTAAGTTTCTGAGCTAATATAGATATGTACGGTAAAAATCTTTTAACTATTCGACTATTATATTTTATTTGATCTTCAAAGTTATTTTATCGCCATAGAAATTTATGATTATTCTAGTCCAATAAAATTTTTAGCCTATGAAAATCTTTCACCCTCCGATAAGAAAGCAATGTTAATTTCTTTATTACCGAATTTTTAACTTATGAAAACTATGAAACCATAAGTTTCTTTTTTATAGTTGAAGTATATGTTCCTCACTGTAAAATTGTCAAATTTTTGTCTTAATAAATTCATTATTTTCTTCCATTATATTGTTAAATTATTGAGTAGAAAATGTCACTTACCAAGCAAACAATTCCACCCCGTCGACAGATAAATTTTTTTATTCAAATGAAAATATGAATATAATGATTCATTTGAAAAAAAAATTGTAAAGACTTTTACGAATGATGAATTTGAATTCATTATAAATTTACTTTTAATATGGGATTAAAAACATTAAATACAAATTATTAAATACAAATTATTAAATACACTAAAGACATTTATATTATCTCTCTCTCTCTCTCTCTCTCTCTCTCTCTCTCTCTCTCTCTCTCTCTCTCTCTCTCTCTCTCTCTCTCTCTCTCTCTCTCTCTCTCT